AGTTAAACAAATGTCATACATGTCAGGGCCTTATAACAGCAAAAACATCGGTTTCAGTATTTCTGCGTTCTCAAGCAGGAGTTTTAGAGTTTATTACTTAACTATGTTACCGAAACCATCTGATCAAATTAATGATACATATACAAATCCACCTAAAGATTTTCCAAACAGGTATATTGTTTTTAGTTAGTGTTTTCAAAATGCATCAAAACTAAGTCAATTAAATATGCAGAAATGCGCTCGTTTTCAAGCCTGTGTAACATTTAGAAGTTGTGATTTCAAGCTCCTTTTCACTCCTGTGTTGAAGCTATATGATCCTTCTGTGATGGAGGATAAAAAGCACTTTATTCTGCCATATTACATTCTAGTTTTTGCAGACTTTCTGTTTTCCTTGATGTTGTGCTTGGACTTTGCTGTGTTTCTTAGCAACACACTGTTGTTTAGGTTTTTCAGTTTGTCTTGCAAATGAAGATCATGCTTTTTTTGCAACAGGATTTAGATGTGTGCTCCTCAGGAGAATATATCTAGCTGCTTGCTGGAAACTGAAAGTCTTCGCTCTAGCTGATCATCTAATTTTTGCTGATCAAAAATATATATCTGAGACTCAATATCATTGAAAGAAGTTGAATGCATACGAGTCTATCATGATTTAGATTTATGAGGATTGCACACTATTGCTTAAAGGTGGAGGATGTTTTTATTCTCGGTTGATCATCAAAATAAGTGGTCCTCCCAATTTTCAATCATTCTGGTGATATTTTTACGTAAGGCCATCCTACATCCTACGTGCTCGTACCCAGGTAGCTGGGTAGATGAGTCTGACAAAGTGGAAAAATTGCAAATCTGTTTTGGGAAGTAAGGTTGTGTATTAGCGATGCAAACAGCAACTTTTAAACAAAGCAAACACAAGGAGAAATGGGCTACTGCGTGCTCTCACACACGTTTAATAGGTGTTCCCGCTCGGGAGTTGGTACAGGGTTGTGCATGTACATTTTTCGAGAGTGTGGGTCTTTTCAAAAATGTACGAAAATCCTCCACTATACCTCTAAGACAAACTTTATTGTCATTTTGTACGCACAGAGTGTATACAAAACAAAATATCGTTAAATACAGCTTACAGCATTTTAAAAGGTTGCAGTTGGAGTTAGATAAACATTACCAATATAAAGTGCAGCAGTGATCAGAATGTACACAATGTAGGAAATAAAAGAAAACAGTTTAAATAATGGGCATTGATATGAAAAAGTTCAGTGCAGTGCAAAAATAAATATTGTGCAAAATGCAGCAGAACATTTAAGTTGTGTCCTATTTAAAGGGATTATAACTGTTCAGCACATTGGTAGTGCAAAATCATGATTTAAGTGTGATGCAGAGTTCAGTCTAGAGTTTAAAAAGCTGTAGCTGTAGAGGTGGTCAGCAGCACCAAATTCCTGGGGGTGCACATCACAGACGACCTCAACTGGACTGTAAACACCACCTCACTGGTCACTGCTGTAAGCTGTTTATTCACTGTTGAGAAGCTGTTTGCATCGAAATTTTGTTTTGTTTATACTCTGTGTATACAAAATGACAATTAAGTTTGTCTATCTCTAAGTCTAAGTCCGATGTGTCAAGCATTAACTAGCCCTTGTGATGCTGGAGGACATAGGGACCACTTTCCCTCTCTATGAAATTCCATTGATATTCTTTACTTTTGCTTTATCTGTTATTTACATTTTTAACTTTATGCTGCTTTTTCTTGTCATAGTAACCACATCAAGCCTGGCACTCTGCGTAGTTGTTACACCATCCTGGAGGGAGGCAGCAGCCCTGCTGCTGCTTTCAATTACCCTCAGGTATAGATGATACAGTTCGGCCTGTTTTTCCATTTCTTAGTCCTGTTTCTGTCCTAGACATAGCTATTGGCTAAGCTTTTAGTGAGACTAGGACAAAGCAATTAATGAATATCATTATATATTGATTTATGTATACACACATGATCAAATATCAATAGAAAATGCATCCAATTAAATTTTAATAATTCCACTGTACTTAGATTCAGAACCCCAGGGCATTTTAGGGTATATTTGCAGAGGAACTAGTTTAGCCTCTCAACCTCTCAAGGCCAAACTAAGCAAGGTTGTTAGTAGGACCAACCTATATTTGTAAATCAAAAGTTATGTTTAAATACAGGGTGTGAAATAAGTATTGAACACACCACCACTTTTCTCAGTTAAAATATTTCTAGAGGTGCTATTGACCTGATATTTTCACACAATGTTGGTAACAATCCATGCAATCCAGGCATACAAAGAAATCAAACCATAGATGACCAGAAATTATGTTATTTGTAAGAAAGTGAAACGGCAGGGGAAATGTACTGAAATGTATTTCATACTTTGTACAAAAGCCTTTGTTGGCAATGACAGCTTCATGGAGAAATGCGTTGCATGCATTGCTCAGGTGTGATTTTCGCACATTCTTCCACAGTCTTCAAATCTAGAAGGTTTCAATGACCTCTTCTATGAACTCTGATCTTTAGTTCTTTCCATAGATTTTCTATTGGATTCATGTCAGGTGATTTGTTGGGCCTTTCTAGCAGCTATATATTTTCTCTCTGAAAACAATTGTGAGTTTCCTTGGCTGTGTGTTTGGCTGTGTAATTGTCTTGCTTAAATGTCCACCCATGTTTCATCTTCATCATCCTGGTAGATGGCAGCAGATTTTTATCAAGATTGTCTTTGTACACTTTTCCATTCATCCTTCCTTCAATTATTTAAAATTTGCCAGTAGCATATGCTCAAAAACAGCCCCACGCCATGATATTCCCACCACCAAACTTCACTATTGCTATGATGTTTATGGGGTGATGTGCAGTGCCGTTGACCTCCAAACATGACATGTATTATGACATCCAATAATTAAATTTTGGTCTCATCTGACCAGACTATATTCTCCCAGTATTTCACAGGCTTGTCTTTTTCTTCAGCAGTGGAGTCTTGCGTGGTGCGCGTGCATACAGGCCATGGCGGTTTAGTGCATTACTTCTTGTTTTGTTTGAATAAATTGCACCTGATAATTCCAAGTCTTTCTGAAGCTCTCCGCAAGTGATATTTGGCTCTTGGACAACTCTTATATAATTATTTTCAGTCCTCTGTCAGAAATCTTGCGAGGAACACCTGGTTGTAATCGTTTATGGTGAAATTATGTTCTTCCAGATTACCGGCCCAACAGCACTCAATGGAACATTCAGAAGTTTAGAAATCCTTCTGCAAACAATTCCATCATTATGATTTGCAACAATAAGGTTGTGATGGGGTTAAAAAAGCTTTTTACTTTTACCCATGATGAGATGTTTCTTGTGTGATACCAAAGATACCTTTTTATAGTCATTTGGGACTGAACCAGCTGATATTAATTTGCACTGAAAAGGGGCAGGATTGCTTTCTAATTACTGAGAAGATTTTTTTCTCCTCCCTTTCTTCACATGTTCAATACATTTTCCTTGTGCTATTCCACATTACTACACATATCTTAATTTCTGGACATCTATGGTTTGATTGCTCTGTATTTGTGGATTGCATGGGTTGTTAGTGACATCTGGTGAAAATTAACTGTTTAAAAAATAACTAACCAATAATCATTGATATCAACTGATATGAAAGCCTTGCATTGACATTTTTCAGCCTTATCAAACAGCTCTAACTGTGACTGATTGTATGTGCTCTCGTTCACCCTTTTTGATTTGAAAACTGTCTCTGAGCTCATCCGATTAACTTTTTGGATCTTGACGGAGCCAACTATAGAGCTAATTTATATTACATTTTCTAATGTAGAAAGTATGCAAGGATCAGTGCTTCTATGTTCTTTTTCTACATCTGCCTCTGTCTGTCAGCCTGGATCTGCTGAAAGAGCTGTGTGAGGAATTCCTGTAAAGTCAACAACGCTACAGTATGCACGCCAATATCTACTGTTGCTACATGCTCATCCAGGTAGAGCGGATGCTGTTAAGTCAATAACCGGATACAATCAGCAGGGTTTCCTTAGATATAAAACCACCCAGTCTGTCTGTTCAACTTGATTATACTGTCTCTGTAAAATGTTTAAAGATGACATGCATTTTGGTGCTATGTACATGACTGAATTGAATTCATTTTGTTTGGCTGTCTACTTCTGAAAAGATTTACTGCTGAGTTTTATGTTTTTACTGTAGAAATAATAATAAAAAAAACATATGGAAAGAATCTTAAAACTCTTCTCAGATTGATGGACAGCAGCAGTTGGTGAGATCATTGCTCATATCAATCTTGGCATAGTTTAAACACACACTTGTATGCTTCAGACCAGTACACAGGCAGAAGTTCTGCTTTTGTATATGTGGTCATTTCATACTGATACACTATTTTTTCTTAGCAGCACCTCGCTGCTGCTTTTCCTATGAAATACTACTGAAACAGCAAGGGTATTTATTTTCTAAAGATAAACTACACTGTGTGAGCTGTGTAATACAGATGAAGTTAGATTTACATAACAAAAAAAAAATCACTGATAATTATGTCTGGAATGAAAGCACTGAGTGTTTATTTCTTTGCTCTTGTTCTTGTAGTCCATTAGGGGCCTAAAACAAAGCAGGCGTAAAAAAAATATATCTAACTTCACATCTCTTCCAATAGTTTAGTTTCTTATAAAGCTGATTTAAGGGAAGGAAATATACTTTTGTTTTCTGCAAACCCTTATTTTACCCCTTACTGATTCTCTCCATCTATTTTCAATAATAACTGGTTCATCAGTGTAATTGCATCATCCGTGCATTTCTTTGTTTAAGAAACAAATGTCTTCCTCCTTCATAGGCCTGAAAGTGATCAATAGGTCCTCCAAATGCTGCTCAGCCTCTTCCTCATGTCTGGCGTCACATCTGCCTGTCTGCCATCTGCTCTGCAGCTACTTCAATAATAGCTTGCAGCTGCAAAGGAAGGAGGGAACAGTTAAGGGGACGAACTCAGAGGGGTGAGGGGGTGAAAGGAGGGCAGGCAGGAAAGAGAAAGAAGAGAGGAAGGAAGGAGGGGGCAGCGAAAGCAGAGCTGTGATGCAGACAGCGAATCACATGAGCAGGGATCTGTTTACAAACTGAGAGCTGCAGATGAGAAGTGGAGAAGAGAGACGAGGGAGGAGAGTAAATGTGAGAGGGAAACAGAGGAGGAGAGAGCTTGGATCAGAATTAAGATTGGTGCTGTTGTCTTCCTGTGTTACAAACCAAATGCTGTGTGTTCTGCATAGGGAGCAGAAAAGCAGATGGAGGTGTTGGGATCCGCTTTCCACAGGAGCACGAAGGGGACTGCCTTCTTCTCACTGCCTTCACAGATAACAGGCTGAGCTGAAGGGAAATTCATCCATGTCTTTTTTCTTTGTCTCTCCACGGCAGGCTATTGAAGCCAGAGATAAGAAGAGTGACTCAAGAATCTAAGAGGAGAACACACAGGAGGAAGAAGAAAGGAGAGCAAATGCAACAGTGACTGTTCAGCCAGAGGTTAAATCCTAGAAGAGATCTGGAATTTATTTAATGTCTTCCTTCCCTCTTTGTCATCGAACATGAAGACACAAAGGATTACTCAGATGCTAGTATCAGATGCTTGAAAAGTCGATGGGAGTATAACGCTTTGTGTGGATAAATCTTCAACAGACAATAGAGCTCAGAAGAACATTCGGCTAATTAGTGGATATCTTGTTGTGTGTTATCTGAAGGCCTCTAAACTCTTTGCACATCGACACATAAACTGGAGTACAGGAAACCTGGTTTTAGTTTGCAGTTCTCGAGAACTTCTTCAAACAGTGCTTTCTGAGAAACTGCAGAGTAATAACATCAAACTTTTCTTCCAGGGAGTGTTTGTCACACATTTGCATGTTGGATGCATCCGGTTCAGTGGTGTTACGGTAAGTGTCTTAAAAACCATCAGTGGCACAGCCTTTCTTTCTGTTCAAACATGCTCAACACACGTGCCACACAAACAGCGGTCCCCTGCCCTTTAAAGTTTGACCATGGGGAAGTTAGAAGAGTGAGGCTCAAACAATGTAGTGAAAAAGCAAAATCAACAAGTCCAACCTTTTTGAGGTAACTTAGTCTGATCTCAGATTTAGATTTTGTTTTTGTATGAGCAGCTAAAAACTGCTTTGACAACAGGATGATTTCAAAGTTTACAAGTTTTATATATATAAAATCAGTTTTTGTGTTCAACACTGGTTTTATGGTAAGCAGGGTCGCAATTCCTTATCTTACTATGCAAAAAACTGAGTTACACTTCACCCCTTATTTTGTTTATGAAATACATAAATAAATAGAAAAAGTTTTTAGCTTCTAGGGCTTTTATAGTACACCACAGAGCAGGATTTCTTTCTCTATGTTCTTTATGTTTTATGTTGGTGGTGTATAAATTAGAAGTATGTCAAATAAAGGTGAAAATCATAGACATTTTAAGATAAATCCTATTTTCAATTAGGTTCAAAGGTGAAAAATAACAGTGTTGGACGAGACTCCAGTTTAGATTACTTTTAACTTAATGTAAAAGAAATGTGACACAAAAAAATCTACAAAACCTGCAATATATGCTACTTTTGCATCATTGTTTTCCCTCCATTGTCTCACAGGGTAATGGATTCAAATGTATATTTTCCATGGCAGAAAACATAATTAAAGCTGTGCATTTTGATTTTCTTTAACATAAGCCTTGCTTTTGCTTTTCCTCCAAAATATGCTAAATCCATTTGTTTTGCAGAAACAGAACTGTGTTTGAGGTATTGGTTGAGGTTTTGCAGGCAGTAACAACGTTTTCTATGACAGATTTTCTATCATCCTACTTATTAAATTGTAAGTTTGTAAGACTGCCCTCCTTGAACCGCGATCTTAACATGGTGGACGGGTTTCAGTGCCTGGATGATCCCAGAAGCTATGTTGACTGGAGCTTAAATGCCCCTGGTAGTTTCCTAAGGCACACATCTCTGGGTGATAGGAAAGAAAGGTTCAAAACTCCCTTATGATGACTATAAAATACCCAAACTGTATGATTAGTGCTCCTTCAAGGGACATCAAACCACTGGGGGACTTTAACATCCACATGGGAAATGACTGGGAGACCTGGAGGGGTGTGATTGAGAGGAAAGGACCCCCAAATTTGAACCCAAAGTTGTATTATTGGACTTCTGTGCCAGTCATATATAGGCCTATGACGTCAATCAGTGCTATTGTCACCAGGACACCCTAGGTCAGAGGTCGATGATTGACTTTGTTGTCATATCTTCTGAACTTCGGCCACATGTCTAAGACAGTCGGGTTAAGATAGGGGAGGAGCTGTCCACAGATCACCAGCTGGATACGCTGGAAGTGGAGGAATCTGGACAGATACAGCGGGCACAAGTGAGTAGTGAGGGTCTGCTGGTTCGTCTGGTGGAGCCATCGGTCAGGGATGTGTTCAGTTACCATAACCAGTTTTTTGTGGTAAAGAGAGAGATATGCAAAATGGTAAAGCTCTTAATTTACTGGTCCTACCCTCACCTATCATCATAGACTATGACGCATGACCGAAAGAGGGAGATCCTTGGTACAAGCAGCTGAAATCAGCTTTCTCCCCAGGGGGGCTAGGCACGCCCTTAGAGATAGGATGAGGAGCTTGATCACCTGGGAGAGACTTGGAATAGAGACTCTCCTCCTCTACATTGAGATGTTTGGAACAGTAAACCTAAAAATGTCTGTGAACAGGAAATATATATATATATTCTTCCCAGTGTTTTAATGTCATTACACTGTCACAAGTACAGAGCAATGAAATTAACTCTCTGCATTTCACCCTTCCCCCTGGGGAGCAGTGGGATGCCATTGTGCTGCACCCGGGGCCAGGGGCACAGATAGGTTTTTGAAACTGTGGGGGACAGTTACTATAGGGCTTGGTCGTCGTGACGTAAGCACTTCGCGTCGCCGCCATGTTGAATGCGTCTTTTAAAGCGGCTCAGACTACTGCCTATGACTACCGCATACTGTACTCCCTCTCAGCCGTGTTTTAATTTGATTAATTTCACCTTAACTTGATTTCAACCATGGTAAACCGTTGCTGTATTGTGGGCTGTAACAGCTCAACACATCATCGCCATGGGAACAACATAGAAAATGGGTTAACTTTCCACCGCTTTCCTGACTGGAGGCGTAACCATGGAGACCAAGCATCAGAGATAAAGAGTCGTCGGCTAGCTTGGATCGCAGCTGTAAGACGACCGAACATAACTTTCCACAGTATTCCAATGTCATTGAGAGTGTGTTCCCTGCATTTTCATTCTGGTAAGTTAAAGATGCACGGTTTTATTTTATAGCCTACTTTGTTTCTTTCCTTCAAAGTTGGGATCTTTTACGGGAAAATAATAAAAACGGCAGCGGGAAAATGCTCAAATACGTGAGAAACCCGGAGGGTTGGCAGTTAACGTTACTAACTACATCTTTGAAACACATAGCAGCTAGTTAAAAGTGCATTACATGCGTGAGTGGTTGTTAGCACTAGCGGTTAGCAGTTGCTAAACTAGCAGGTTCCAGAGCCCGTCTGATCACAGCTTACCTTCGTACGGATTACTGTGTCCGCACTGTTTGCTGGCTTTATGATCTGCAGCTCCTGAACCCATCCATTCATGAACTGCACATGAGACTCCAAGGACTTGTAGCTTGGGAACTGTTTTGAAGTATAGGCGCTCACTCATCGGTGCTCCACTCATTGTTTGGAACTTTATATGGATCCAAATGATTAACAATGCTGATTTTGTCACCATACCGGTCCCTGGCTTCTCTATTTAATGTGTCCCGGTAAATTCCAGATCCTTTTCGGGATTTTAACATCTTTTTTCTCTCTACTTCTGTCTCTTCTTTCAACAACAACGTTGTGTCAGAGCTATGCTTACGTTTGCGTAGCAGTCAGTATGGCTGCGACGTCCCACAATGCAACGTGGATCCCGAGCCCTATTACGGGCTATTACTCAGCTATGACAACCCATCAGTCTTAATTGCCCATCATTGCAAGAAAATAACATGTATTGGTACCAAGTACACACCAAACATGCCACATGACGTGTGAAAAAAAAAGGTTTTATTTAAACATGGACTGACTTTAAGTGCAGGCTGTAAACACACAGAAACACGAACAGCAAAGCCTACATATATACAAAAACAAATTTGTAAATAAGTACTTTACATGGCTTTTCAATAAATGGCCTCAAATGAAGAAAGTTGTGTGTCTACTTTGTCAAGGACTCTGTAGAACTCCACTTTGTGGTACTCCACAGCAGATTCTGGCCTGTGTGCAGGTGCTGGCCCAGAATATCTCTTTGGGGGCCTATGTGTTCGAGATAGAGCAATGGGCTCTAGAGACAGCTTCTCAGCCATATCCACTGCTTCCTTAAAGACTGCCTCAAAGTGGGCTGGCTTTTTTTGTCCCGTAATCTCTCTTGGACAACTGAGACTGCAGAGACAATGCCCTCCAATGTCTGGGTGCTTTTTTGGAGCGATGTATTCAGCACTTCCAGTTCGCTCATTACATCTAAGGCCAGTGAGCCCCAGTAGCCCCAGTTTCAGTAAAATCTCAGGCTTTTAAATGTTGTAAAATCACCCATAAGTTTTAGGTGTTTTAGTCCTTTATAATTAAATTTATACATTCAAAAAACATAAGGAAGTTATTATCAACGTCTCACTCTACTTTACAGCTTTGTATTAACATTGCTTTAATGTGTGTTATTGTGTACAGCTGGGGATGCTAAGGGCCACGTTAATTATATATTAAATAATTTACTGTTCTGTAGTTTAAGCAATTGTCATATTTGTAACATCACTAGTCTTTCCTGTGACATGCACCTTTTATTTATTTATATATACACACACACACACACAAACACACATATATATATATATATATATATATATATATATATATATATATGAGAGAGAGATTCTTTCCTCCGAGTTACAGTGACATAGACAAACTTGAAGATACATGACATCCTCAAATTTCTATTCTATTAAAATTTCTGTATCTGTATAATGGGTCTGTTCTATATGTTGTCTTCTCAATTCAGAGGGCCCCATGCCTGTCTTTGCCTAGGGCCCCAAATTTCCTAAATCCGCCCCTGTGTAGTGGAATTTGTCTAGCTTTGAAGTTTGTTTTTCTCATGATTCAACCTGTAACAACCTAAACCATTTGGCTTGGCATAAATACGGATTCAAGTAGCCTACTGTAGCCTACACATTTCTGAAAGACCCCCAACAACTCCAGAAAAAGTCGGAACAGTCGATTTAATTATAAATAAATAAATGCCAGTCGATTCCCCCTGCCTCCCGCCTTATAACATTGGCACCTCTCTTCACGCTATTCTCACTGACCGTCTCTACTCTTTTTTCCACGGCGACATCGAACAGACAACCAAAAAAATGCAAAGTGATATGATGAACAGTTTACTTACAGTTGGTGCTTTTCGAAAAAAGGATGCAATTGTTTTCTGTTTTTTCGGTTTGGCTGGCCTCATGTTGATGTCCGGACTCCGGAATTGGGAACTGTCCCGCCACTACTGTCTGTCTGAGTAACCATGGAAACCAGGCTCGAGACGTAAACGCCAGAGACAGGATAACTTTTAGATTAGAATCTCTACGACGCAGGCAGCCTGCAGTTAAACAAAACGATTGCCCGTCTATGATCTGACTGTTTTATGTTGTTGTTGCAAAGCAGTAAATTAGAAAAAGCTTTTTGCTTTTCTGTGAGTTTCGCCGTATGTTTTTTTTTTTTTTTTTTTTTTTTTTTAATAAAAGTGGGGGGGACGGATTGAGGGTCATTCGAATCTGTGTACGTCAGAACACCCCTGACGTACACGCTATCTGCGCCCTTGCCCGGGGCCCAAAGTGGCAGCCGTGGGAGTGGGGCTTGAACTTAGAACCTCAGGATTCCAAGTCCAATGCCCTAACCACTAGGCCGCCACTCCCCAAAGCAGGCATTAATGTGAAGCTCAAGTGGTATTATGGTCTGTTTTAAAATGACCACATTCCAAAATGTTAAAGCATGTATAACATCAAACTGGTCTTTTAAGTTATCTTAAAACTGAGAAAAAGTATGGCACCTAGGAATGCTATGGTAAATGCTGCATTTTGGGATCATCGTTGTCCTGAAAATGTTACTAAACACAGTTGTTTAACAGGTTAAGCCCTTAATTCACAAATCTTCTGAATTGTTATGCAGTCACAAGTAAATTACAAGCTCAAAACAAGCAGGCTAGCCTTTGGAGGCACGTCTGCTTGCACCTCTGATATTATTCATTCAGATATATCTTATTTACAGGTTATTAAAAATAAGTTAGTTTTTTCAAGATGACTGTTTTTAATGTTATATTAGAAAAGTCTTGCCTGTTTTCCATTAGTATTTGCTAAAGCACAAATGAGTTTTTGTCAAGTCAACACAATTAGGGTCTTTTATCATTACAATGGCTTACTTCTTTAATGTGGGTTCGACTGTCACAGCAAGGTGGCCTGAAAATATTGCTTTCCTAAAAGTCACAGCGACTTTGTTATGTATACAAACTGCAGCTGATCACACCCAGGGTGAGATTAGTTTTATGCAGATAATGTTTTTGCTATGCAGAAATGAGTAAGTTGGTTCTTTTGCTTAAATGCAGCAGTTTCTGCACGATTGAGGCTGCTGAGAGCACCGTAAGTTGCTTTGATGGTGTGAGCTCACAGTGGTACTCATTGATAAGTGCATGAGTGATTAAGAATCACACAAGAATACTCAAAAAGTGTTCAATCTTTTTTAGTTTTTTTGTTTTTGAAAAAAATGCAGGGGTTAAAAAAAGTCGTAAGTTGCAACATGTCCTCCTGTCACTAAACTCACTAACATCAGTGTCTGTCAGTCATGTTATGTAACTGTATCCCTAGAATCAGGTCAGCATGAGGCTCATTTGGAACCTAGCTTAGTACAACATTATAAAAAAAAGCTGATACAAAGGAACAGCTATTAGACTCAACCAAGTAAAATATATTGCAAAATTTGTCCTTTCAAAATGTACCCAGTTTTTAGTCTTTTTTAGTTCGAACCTAAGAGGTTGTATAGATTAAATTATATTAAGTAATCTAGAATTCACTATGAAGAATATGACAAAGTATTAACATGCAATTACATTAAATTCTACATTGGCACTGTGTTTCACACAAAAGCAATCGTTTCACAGTGTAAAGCCAACAAGAATTAATCTGTTGATTTAATTTTTTTTTTTTTTGTGGTCACTGAATGTTTTGCAATGAGAGATACGGTTGCCTTTACAAAGACGTTAATTGTTGAGTTTGTTGACTTAAGGTTTCACTGTTATACTCAAGTCTAGGATTTCAGCAATTTTTGGCTGCAATGTTTTTTTGGTAAATTTATTCTTATGCCTTTTAAAATAATAGTGTGGAAATAACTACCGTATTTTATTATGAGATACATTTGACAAAGTATCACATACTGTTGTACACACCAAGTGAAAAGTGACAAGTGGTTGGACTGAAGTTACCAACACTATGATGCAACAACTTGATGCGCTCATGTTTTTTTATTTGTGTTTACAACTAAGCAACCAAACATTTCAGTTTAGTATTGTTTAATGATCAAAGTCAGGGGCTACTGCAAACAAGACCAATTGTGGTGCACATATTTAAAAGTCGCTGACACACTTTAGCATATAGGAGTGAATGTGGAGGGTTTTTTGGCCTTGTGCGTAAAGTATACTCCCCAAGAATTTTAGCTTGGGGGGTTTTTGGGTTTAGTACTGATATCAAATTCCATAGACTTTGAATGCCCACACCTGCACAGCAGTTAGCACGGCTCCTCCCGAAAAAGGGTAGCGTGCTTTTCTTTTTAAAGGGCCCTTGGGCTGCAGGAAGAGGTAACTTTTTAAAACATTCCCATTTGGTTTTTTAAATCTTTAAAATATCTGTATAAAACGCGATTTTATTTTTATATTTTATTGTAGAAACGGGGATGTAATCGGTTACAGGGAAAATTTGCTGTATTATTGTGTTGAAGAATATCCGGTGAGTTCAATGAACCGTGAATGAAATTTAAAATTTTTTGAGATGTAAAACCAGTCAGGATATAATGTTTTGTAATATATGTAATTTTACTAGCTCTTTTGATTTATTGAATGCATTAGCACAGTGAGAAGGAGGCTAACACACCCCCCATGTGCTCTTCTAAAAAAGAAAATGCACTTTCAAGCTAGCTACATCTTGTGTGATGTTGCTGTAAAACCCCCACAAGGGGTTAACGTAAAATTAACCCTTCATAGGTGTCCTGGATTGTTTTTTCCAGATACAAGTATTGACTACTGACCATAATGATTTCTTAGACAGTGAACCACATGTAAATTGATAATTTTACTTTATATTTTTGTCTGTATAAATGTGGTAAAAACCAATTTATATTATGGTGATTACATGATTTATTTTCCAATTGAAGTAATTGCTCTGCACATTTGTGTGCAGGCTGTTTTTTTTTTTACATAGTTGCAGAATCTGCTGTTACAGCTGAGCGGTTCATTGTATGGACTGGACTAGACTCCACCAGAGATGTTGATGCAGAATGTTCCCAATGTGAATGCCATCCGGTTCCCTGGAGGGTGGTAGGAAAAAACAAGGAAACTTAAGGATTTTTCTTCCCTTTCTTTCTGCGGATTCATAATTTTTTTCTTTTCTGAGATCTCTGACAATTTTTGTTGTTACTTTGTTTAATTTTTTTGATCAGATCTGATAAAACCACTTGATGCATCAGATTTATTTAAATTCAACTGAAATGGACAATTTTTTTTTCTGGTGCACTTATGGACCCTGGTATATCATACTGATACAATTTGTCAGACTTTTCTGATGTACTGCTCAAAAATACTATGAATTTACAGTATCTCTCTGTTTGGTTAACAGACGCTGTTCTTCTGGAGTTTCCGTAGACAAGTGTCTCTGATGTGCGCACGGCCATCAGACGAAAATGTAACAATGAGCAGTTCAGCCAAAAAAAGGAAAATAATGTGTGGTGGGCGTGTTTTTGTATGGTGCGAGGGTTTAGGGGTGCAATAATAAGGAATGTTGTTTTTCATTGTTCAGTATTCCTCTGCGTTCTTTAAAGTTTATTTGTAATGTTTAGGTCTGCTGCCTGAAATTGACATATTTCTACAAAGTGTACTAAAGTACCAATATTTGAAAATGTGTTGTAAGTTTTATAATGAAAATGGTTAACGTCGATATGTAAATGTTTATACATTCTGAGATAGTACAAGTTATATTATTTGTAATGTACTATAATTTGGACATGTTTCAAATACATTAAAGTATATTTTTTCATCTGCACGGAAGTATATCCACAAGTCTTTCAGCATTTAGTATACTGTTAATACATTTGCAAGAATGTGCAAGGTAGAAAGTAGTATAGCAATGTAATGATAAAGTATATTTACTATTAACTGCAAAGTATGCTTTTTTAGTAATTGGAATAAGCCAACAGTATAATTAAGCATATTATTACCACAGTAAGAGTATATTAAAAGTATAAAGCTTATATATTTTTAAGACACTAACAAATCATTTTTAATGTAGTTATAATACAACCATAGTGCACTTTAATTTGACTAATTAAGCATATATTAGTACATATAAACTCATATACTTAAAGTATACAAAATATACTTTAAGTTGTTCCACTTTAGCACATCAAAGTACACTAAATACACTTCAAGTTGAGCTTGTCCACAATTTAATTACAATTAAAATATATTTAGTACAAAATTAGTTGTTCCAAAATAGCATCCTTCAAGTTAACTAATCATAAACACACTTAAAGTATAGTAATGATTAGTGTGCCTTCAAGTACACAAAAGTATGCTAAATTTTAGTACACTTAGCACATTTATTTTTCAGCAGGGCAAGTAAATTACAAGCTCAAAACAAGCAGGCTAGCCTTTGGAGGCACGTCTGCTTGCACCTCTGATATTATTCATTCAGATATATCTTATTTACAGGTTATTAAAAATAAGTTAGTTTTTTCAAGATGACTGTTTTTAATGTTATATTAGAAAAGTCTTGCCTGTTTTCCATTAGTATTTGCTAAAGCACAAATGAGTTTTTGTCAAGTCAACACAATTAGGGTCTTTTATCATTACAATGGCTTACTTCTTTAATGTGGGTTCGACTGTCACAGCAAGGTGGCCTGAAAATATTGCTTTCCTAAAAGTCACAGCGACTTTGTTATGTATACAAACTGCAGCTGATCACACCCAGGGTGAGATTAGTTTTGCTCATGCATGAAATGTTTGCTATGCAGAAATTGAGTAAAGTTGGTCTCCTCTTTGCTTTAAATGCAGGCAGTTTTCTGCACGATGAGGCTGCTGAGAGACACCTGTAAGTGCTTTGGAAGTGGTGGGAGCTCACAGTGGTACTCATTGAATTAAGTGCTGAGTGATTAGAGAATCACCAAGAAACTCAAAAAGTGTTCAATCCTTTTTCTAGTCTCTTTTTGTTTTGTAGAAAAAAAAATATTGCAGGGGTCTAAAAAAAGTCGCTAAGTTGCAACAGTGTCCTCCTGTCACTTAAACCACTAACCCATCAGTGTCTGTCAGTCTTTGTTGTCAACTTATCCCCTAGAATCAGTCAGCCTGAGGCTCATTTGGAACCTCAGCTTAGTACAACCATTAAAAAAAAAGCTGATACCCAAAGGAACCAGCTATTTAGACTCAAACCAAGTAAGAAATATTTCAAAATTTCTCCTTTCAAAATTAACCCAGTTTTTTAGTCTTTTTAGTTACGAACCTAAGAGGTTTATAGATTAAATTTATCATTAAGTAATCTAGAATTCACTATGAAAGAATATGACAAAGTATTTAACATGCATATTACATTAAATTCTACATTGGCACTGTTGTTTCAATCCAAAATGCAATCGTTTCACAGGTAAAGCACAACATAGAATTAATCTGTTGATTTAATTTTTTTTTTTTTTGTGGTCACTGAAATGTTTTGCAATGAGAGATCGGTCTACCTTTACAAAGACGTTAATTGTTTGAGTTTGTTGACTTAAGGTTTCAATCTGTTATACTCAAAGTCGTAAGATTTCAGCAATTTTTGGCTGCAATCTTTTCTTTGGTAAATTTATTTCTTACTGCCTTTTTAAAATAATAGTGTGTGAAATAACTACTCGTATTTTAATCATGAGATACAATTTGATCAAAACGTATACACATATCCTGTTGTACACACCCAAGTGAAAAGCTGACAAGCTGGTTTGGAACTGAAGTTACCAACAGCTATGATGCAACAAACTTATGCGCCATGTTTTTTTTTGTTTGGTTTTTACAACTAAGCAACCACAACTGTGTATTTTAGGGGAAGAATTTACCAGAAACAGCTGATATTTTGCAGGATCAGATCCACTCACAATGCTCAGGTTCAGGCTTGTCCATGCAGGCAGCATTTGCACAGTGGCCTACCTTTTGGTCGTTCACAATCAATGATTTACTAACAAAGCGCTAAGATTACAGTTGCCTCCTCTTTAACCTAAACCTCCTGCCAAACAGTCCTGTCAGCCCTCAGCATTGTACCTTTCTGTTGTGACCTTTGCATATTAAATCGGGATTTCTGAGCCAGAGACCAGCTCCAGTGTAGAGTTGCTCTTTTTAACCTGTGCTCACCATGTTAGGGTGATGGGGGTTGGGAATCATAACTGATTCAGATGGCAAAAACAAAGCAAAGCGCTGATATGAGGTACATTTGAAATTAATATCTAAAATATTCCTACACATTCTAACTTTTGAGACCATATCCACAAAAAGAAACAGTTAATCTCAGGTCAAGCAGGAAAAATATTTAACAAAATTGAATCGCCCTCAAGTTAACTTATGCAAAATTAAAACCTGCACAAGTTTAGCTTTGCAAATTAATCTGCTGGTAACAGTTTACCTGCAGGCCTTAGGAGCTTTTGCATTATTGCATTTCTCATGGACGTAAAACACAACCCAAAAAGATAGCTATCGTTTATAAAACTCCTTCAAAGGAGCAAATCAATACGTAAAAAAACAAACATTGTCTTGGTTGAAAAACACAATAAGGGGCAGAGACATGTCGGTAGACCAAGAAATTGACATCTACATGTCAGAAAACCCAAAGCAACATAGATGGAAAATTAAAAAGCGCAACAAAATAAACACAACACAGTTGGAAAGGAATAGTAGTCAGTGATTGTAAGTTACTAAGAAATTGTACAAAGAAAATAATCCAAAATTGATCATCATTGACACCAGAACCAAAGAAAACAGTGTTTAGTAGGCTGAAGAAAAGTTCTCCTCTTCAGGACCAAATTGCAGACAGACAGATGCTGAGCAGAGTTAGCTGAAAAAGATTAGAAATAAGGGTGAAAAGATTAATTGAGTCACATTTCAATGTATGTACTGTAGGTGTGTTTTGAGGCTTTAAAGTTGATGAGTTCATTATAGATCAGAATGAATTAGCTAATTACCACACACTTTTATATATTTTCACACATGGTTATTTTTGTTCTTGGTGGGTTGTGCTTAAAAAATTGTGCTCTATGGCTTTTTTTTTTTTTTGCACTTGATACATCATCAGAAGCAGGGTGTGGGTTGGAAAGTTAGAATAACTATGTGAATATTTTTTTTCATTTGGTTTTATTAGCATAAGCTCAAGTGGTGGCCTAGCGGGTAGGGCATAGAGCTTGGAATCCTGAGATTCTGGGTTTGAGACCCACTCCCACAGACTGCAAATCTGGGTCTCTGAGCAATACCTTTAACGCCCGATTGCTCAATGCCAGCCCACTGCTCCCAATGGGGAAGGGTTAAATGCAGAGAAAATTTTCTCCAATGTGAGATCAATAAAGATTGATTATTTATTAAAATACTCTTACTTAATGCAAAAAGGTTTCAGCACCGACCACTGCTTATCCATGACATTTTCACAGCTAATAAATCTTCCTGCAGTCATTTTGATTATAAAAAGGAAATTGTTCCTTTGTGATTTGGTTCCCTACAAATCATCAAAGCCCATGAAGCACATTCTCTTACATAAAAAGCACACTGGAAAAAAAAAAAATTTCAACCACTCTGCTGGGATTTTAAATCTCTTTAAATGCATAACTTTTACCCATGTCTCCCCATTCCTAGGGTGTCTATGTAACTTTGGACTGCAGGACGCTGCCTCCCATTGCAAGATGACAACTGAAAAACTCTTCAGCCTGCCACTAAACATCTACCTCATCATCCTGGGCACTGGCCTCTTCATCCTCATGCTTAGCCTCATCTTCTGCTGCTACTTTTTCAGGTACAGATTTACAGAAGAGTCAGAGTTTTGGTGTTCTTTGAGCAAACAAAGTTAGGCTTTGCATTTCACTGTTTAATACAGCTGACAGCCTATATATCTTTTGCTATCAATAACTCTAAAATAAGGATGCATTATCTATTTCCTACTTTGGGCAAATGTTCCATATTGTACCAAAAAAGCTCCGTTTATTCATATATGTATTTCCATGTCATGGCTTTTTATGGCTGGTGTTTAAAGCTTGGAAATTGTCAGGATTGGTGGAAGTTAATTGAAGACCTAAATGTAGAGATGAGGTGACAGAGATGAGTTCTTGCAGATTTAATTTAAATTCTGATGGCAACAGAAGCAAATCCAAAAACCAAAACATAACAGAAAACCAAAAACCCAGGAGACGTCAGGGAGAAACACACATGGGGAGCAAAGCAATGATAAGAAACCAGCACTCAGGAACTGCACAGCAAGAGTATACATTTGCGACAGAACAAAGACTGGGGTAATCAGAGCAACACAAAAAACCTTACTGCATAAATACTACTAGAAAACAACTGCAATAACACAAAACGGAAAAGAAACAATAACCAGGAAAACACAGAATTACCTAAAATGCAAATGAAAACTAAAAAAGAAACTCAAACAGAACCCAAAAAGTTCTACAAAGGGCAGGATCATGACAGAAATAAATAAATGATCCTATAATAATCCTATAATCCTATAACAATAATGCTAATATTCAGACACTTTCCTTAACACTTTCCTGACTCAGCTGCAGCCCAGTCGTGTTGAGGGAAATTACCTTACAGGTTGATACATGAATTTGACATTGTAAAAATTCCAGGAAAGCTTGAAGTACTCGACACCTCCAGCTGATTCACCTAGCTTGACAAGACTTGTCTGAGTAAAGAGATGTAACCTGGTTTGCACGGCAGGAATGCTTTAAGGTGAAACACTGGAAAGCACTGTGTGAGCTTAAAGGAGAGGGCAGATTGCATAATAAAAACTCTGAACCCGTCATGACTGAACACCTGAATCAAAACAGGCCAAAACATCAAATCGAAGAGTTTTGTTTTTCAAGAATCTGGTTTGAATCCATTTTCTTTCCTTCCTGCCTGTTGCCAATTTCCACTATGGATGCAGACTCCGTCCATCCTACTTCCTGCTATTTCTCTCCTCTATCTTTACTTCTGACCTTGCTCTTCCTTCCAACTTCCTGTTAACTTCAACTATACTTTTTTACCAGGCTCTTTCTGTCTGTTTCACCTCCAACTATCAACCATATCTCTCTGTTTCTCTGCCTTCTGTAACGGCTCAGAAAGTAGGACCCAGAATTCAGGCAAGACAGACAGTGGAATAATTAAAAAAGCGTTTATTCAAACAATGACGGAACAGATCTGCAATGGTAGTGGCTGCAGTGGCTAGGGCGTCTGAGTTATGTCTATCAGAGATTAGTGACTACAATAATCTGACGGAGGATGATTATGAACATGTGAGTCACTAACCTGGTTTGACAATTCAGTCCATGCCCAGAGAACGAGGATGACATGACGCAGCGGACGCTGCCAAAGAGTTGCCGATGCTGAAGCCTTGAAGGCTGCAGAGCTGACAGAGGATCAGATCCAAGCTGATGAAGAAAGGCAGGACAATCCACAGGGCAAAGTCAAGAGAAAGATCCAGGTTCAATCCACAGAAGAATCCGACAGGAGTCCAAAGACAGGCCAGGCATACAGATCAGACAGGAGCAGAATGGCTCAAAGGTCCAAATACAAAAACGGATAATCAGGCAATCAGAACACTATTAGAAACACTAGAGAACTCTCAAGACCAAAGACTCAAGAATAATCTGGCACTGATAGCTGGGACTAAGGAGTTTATATAGGAGCTGAAACAGGTGAATCAGATGAGGAGTGATGAGAAACAGGGCAGAGCTAGGCATGTTAATGAAATGAGAAAGCAAGCCAGCCATCAGTGAACTATTGTGAACTCTTGAAACAGCACTGTGATTTTGTTGTGTCTTTACAGACTGAGAAGACAAGGTGCGAGAGAGCACTATGGCTACAATGAGGTAACATGTTATTAGTGTTTATTAGTTATTAGTGTGAGGGATTGCATTCGAGTCAATGAGTCGATAGAATCAACTGGTTTTCCTTAGATAGAAAACTTTGAATCAATTTGACTGGATGATCTGGTGAACTGTAAATTGCATTGAGATGACATGTGTTGTGAATTGGCTCTATATAAATAAACTGAACTGAATTACTGTAGCCATTTTGCCTGGTCTCTAAATACATATGTGTTCCTTTACTTTTCTGTAAGGTAAGCTAATGGGATTTACGTATTTGTCTTTTGTCATTTACAGGTGGTTTTGAAAGGGGCAGGAAAGAAACTGAGTCTTCTTGGTGTAAGTTAAGTTCCTGTTGCAAGCTAAAAATGTTAGTCCTCCAAGTTTTGGGGTTTCTTTTGTGTTTCTTTGTGTTTTCATTATTTTCAAGTCTATCAGTCTATCTATGTTGAAAAAATAGCGATACCCTGTGTTGTTATATTAGCCTATCATTCTGTTTTTAGTTCTTTGTGTATTCTTGTGTTCAGTTCTTTCCAACTTTTAATCCATTTCTGTTACATCTGTTTACTTTTTCCCATTGGTTTAATAGTCTAACATTTCAATTCAGTAAGGCTATATTAATTAGTACTCCTTCTTAAGTCATCCAGCTTATCCCCTGCCTCAGCTGCTCAACCTAATTCTCTGATTAACACACCCACATCCAATCTCATTTCTCAAACTTCCTCTGTAATGAAGTTCCCTGTTACTCATTGTTCTTTTTTGGATCTTCTGTTACAATTTCTGTTGCTTTCTGTTTTGTTTTGCAGTGATTTAACCCCGCAATCATGTTTGAATTTCAGTCCTACTCCAAATTCAAATCATCGCTCAGCCTGTACAAAAGAATTTTAGATAAGCAAAAACCACACATCTAAACTTTTTAGTTATTTCTCAGGCTTATTTATGAGCAAATTCAGATAAGTAGGTAATTTCTTGTAGCTATTTCCTGACAAAGAGTAACACCCATCTCCCGACAAGTTCTCCATGTCTTTTATGTTTTAAAGAGTAGCAAAGAGAAATAGGCCTGAAAGTCACCACATATTCACGTCTTAGGAGGACACCTTAGGAAGACATGATGTGGCGGATAGGCATAGTTTTTCTTACTTGGTGTCGGTAATAATTAAGATCACCTGTTTTGCTGACCTGAGGAGTTTTATCTGGATTTCTATTTTTTGCTGACCGCTTTAAGCTTTGGATGTTTTTCATTCTTTTTTGCCTTTGATCACGGCTAGTTTTGAATTGCGAGCTTGTCCACAAAAATTCCCCTATTCAGCCTCTCTACGGCTAACTTTGTTTGACTGTCACCAATACAGGACTTGATGGATCACTAATTTAGCAGATTGTTCAACTTAAATTTTTTTATAGATATAATTTAGGCTTTTATTATTTCTGTTTATTGGGGATTAACGCTTCACTTTTATTTTTGTTCACTGAATTGTTTTCTTGTGTTTTCTCTTCTCAGCAAACATGTGCAGTATGTTTGGAAGAGTTTCGCTGCAGGGAAGAGCTTGGAGTGTGCCCATGTTCACATGCTTTTCACAAAAAGTGAGTTCTGTTGTAATGCTTGTTGACTGTTGTGGTTTTGTGACAACTTAAGACTGTTTAAAAGCCTTAAATACAGAGTTTTGCATGCCTAAATAATGTTAACTTGAACATATTTTTTAAGTGTCCATTGCATACTAAACTAACCCCTAAAAACACTCCACATTGCACTAAAAAACCTGAATAAGTTCAGATACAGAATACTCTAAATGTTTGTGGAGACCGATTAAATAAAAGTTTTTGAGTAAGTAAGTTTGAAGTACTTATATATTTTACAGCATCTACATCATGATGTAAAACATGTAAGTAACTCAACCTTAAATATTCTTACTTAGTTACGCAAAATCTTTAAGGTAAACAGTTTCCACAAAGGTTTTAGTATTATGAACTATTTGCTTTTGCTATATTTTCATTGGCAAATTACATCAGATTTCTTGGGCTAAGCTGTCTAAACTTTACTTAATCTTTAGTAGCTTAGATTTGCATATCTCTTGCAGAAAGAGCTTTGATACTAATGCTCTTAATCTATTTTTTTATTGAGTTTTACGCAAGCTTTTATGCTTCTTTTTTACAGATGTCTGCTAAAATGGTTAGAAATCCGGAGTGTGTGTCCAATGTGCAACAAGTCAGTTTGTCGAGTCCAAACTGAACCCCAACAAACAGCAGAGCAGCCACAGAGTCTCTCGGAGGTCTGATAAAGGAGCAATGATGGGCAATCTTCATTCAGCTGAACTGACTCACTCAGAGTTTTAATTAATTATTTCTCAAATGCAAATATTTCTTTAAGGTAAAGCTGCTCTTGCAGAGATTTTTAAGTGAATCTCATTAGGATTAGAAGAACATTCCCCCCCCCCCCCCCCCCCCAAAAAAAAGTTAGACATATGAGATGATACTAAGACATTTTAACAAAACTCTAATCTGAGTAAATTAGTCGAAGTATGACTGCCTCATAAGTCAGCAAGGGGACCAATATTGCACCTGACACATAGCCAACCTCAGTTTGTTCATTGCAATCTCATTTTTTTCTGATCAGGTTGATTGGTAACAAATTAACATCACCGATTTTAAGCAAACTAAAGTTTCAGTGTCTCTAGAAAGGTTTCCTTAACCTAAAAATGACTGAGGTGCACCGAATAGACCCTATTATAAACTATAAACTAATTATGAACTTTGTTTGAGGAAGTACATGTCAACGTCAAGTTACAGGTATTTATAATATTGAGAACGATTACATTCTCAGTACATGGGCTAATGCTAATACTAAGTGCCTTAAAGTCATATAAGCATAATTAAAATTATTTTGTATTTCAACCCGTTTAGTGCCAGCAAAGAGGTTAAAGCAACACTGTGTTTTTTTTCTTTTTTTATTAGCTTAAGTTGAATTATATCAAATTATCTTTCAGGTCAATATACAGCACTTGCGTGTATCGACACTCCATGAGGGCTTCTTCTCCTTTGAAACTTGTCTGTGTAACTTTAGAGCAGAGGTCTTCAACAGGGGGTCCTCGAATCCTAGGGGGTCGACGGAGGTACAGCATGGGGGTCGCCACACTTTCGATTGATTAGACTTTTTTTTATATTCCCCCCTGCAATTTTTTCCACTAATTGAAATGTCTTTGAATACACATTAACATGAATTCAACACACTGTAGTGGAGGAGGCAGAAGATGTCTTTCAGTCATCAATGCACACATTGAGCGACACACAGGAGCTCTTTCAAGCTGGGCACCGTTTCATTCACAACACCTGTAAAATCAACAAGGAATCAGATTCACAAATACTTTAATAATTCCAGGGCGTAATTACTTTCGTTAAACCATCTGTAATAGAGTCACTATAGGACCAATTTGATATAACACAATTTCATACAATATAATTAGAGGTCCCCGCTCCATCTCGCCATCAGTTGCGGGGTCCTTGGCCTGGAAAACCCATGCTTTAGCGGATTCGATCCAACACTTAATGAGTCGTGTGACCCAAAGAGCGGCTTTACATCAGTCAGAGCTCTGAAGAATGAGAACTAACTAAGCTAAAAGTTGTCGTTAGGCAACAGAACAGATATAACACTTACCAGATCAGAGGTATTTATGGTCCTCTGATGTAGGATTTATTCTGGAAAGGTGAATGTGGTCTTATCTTTACCAGTTACTCCATGATTTCTCAGTCGGCTGGTTCAAAGTGGTCTGCTATCAGATGCCAAATCATCAAGTTACACTGTTCAATACTGTAACAGTACAGTATTATTATGGGGATATTAAACCTGGAAGTTGCAGGTCTAACCCCTAAACACTATAGAGTATGTGTTGATGGTTAGGATTGGAAGGGAAATATAAATTATTTGCTCTTTCGGGGTCAGCCTGGAAAATTTTATATGAATCTAACAGATAATGTAAAGATATATATGAAGGTTTTCTGCATGCTCAAATCTTTGCCAGATTTTATTTTCGTAATTTTGATTTAACAGTGGAAGCACGGATAAAAAAAAATCTTTTGTTTGCTTTGGAGTATTTTTGGTTTTTAGCACCTTAACAAAACCATATCCAGGTTGAGTAGTAGAACAGCTCTTTCCATTTACCCAATTTAATTTGTTCCTCCTGGTTTTCCATACTACACAATGATTTTATAGAAAGAAGATTTTGGCACATTTCCTAGGAAACCAAATACTGCCTGCAGATTACCTAAAAAAGCAAAGACTAATACACTGGGGTAAAGGCTAAGTAAATCAATGTCAAATCTTTGAAAATCATATAAGGGTTTAATTCAGTGGGGTGGTTTAAAGCTGCTGTATGTATATAAAGGATGGAAGACTGTTAAAGATAATTATAACTTGGCATAAGATACTAAATCTTATATGAAATTGTGTAAAAACCTTGCTATTATGATAGGAGCAGCTGTGCAACATTTGTTTTTTCTCTTAAACCATCAAAGGTAAAACCAGAACAGTATTAATCGGTTAATTCACAACAAAACCCAAATTTAATCCGGTTACCTTAAAACTCCTGTAGTAAATACAGATATACAGTATTCCATGTATTTAACAGAATGGGACTCATTGCAGGGTGGAGACTGAAGATCCAAATGATCACTGAGTGTGTATGTCTGGGGTCTGCTGGATCTGATCTGTGCTGTCCCATGAATAAAAACCTTTTTTTTGTATCTCCAGTTCTGCCTCAGAGAAATATTTGCATGATAAATTTGCCGCAGTCATGCCGCCTTTTGAAAACAAAGTGTGAACTTATTAGAATGAAGACTGTGATTCATAAGAAAGAGGTCAGGCCCACAGTCTCATGAAACTCTTCACAATAAATGAAGGATACACAGATTGTCTTTAATGAAATCAAACCTTCCTTTTTTTTTTCATTTCACAAAAAAAAATGATCAACCAACAAAAGGGTTGTGTGCCTTGTGTCGTTCACAGACCTATCCTGCAGTAAGGCTAAATTACATGATACACCAATAGCAAAGCGATGAGTGATTTGGAAAGGGCACTAGGCTGAAACATGCTTGTTTAGCTGCAAATCATTGCTTAAGATTTAGCTAAAATAATAATATATATCTGGTAAGAGGGTAACATATACGTTTAAGGAGAAAGTTATCAATATTAAGTTTGAATTAATTATTTGAACCACTCTTTGATCAAAGTGGAATAGAATATCAATAATAGGTTTCAAAGCAAGAATTTGGCATCAAACTTTAAAGGTCTTCTAAAAATTTTGTGATTTATTTAGAATTTTTTAAAATTAGACATTCAAGGTCAAATATACTGTATGCATAATATAACTTACACTGAGAAAAAAATAGGATGGCTCTATGTTTGTTTTGGCAAGGTCAATGCCTATTAGCTTTGGGCAAATGAAAATGATTGACTGGTGGCTTCTTTTTGACATAAAATGAACTTGTTTCTCAATACTCATTGGATCAAAAATTTTAAATGGGGAAATCCAAAGGAACACAGTAAAGGTTGAAGAATAAAAATCAATAATTCAGCTTTTCCTTCTTCAAGAGTTATATTATTATTACAGAATGGACACCCCTAATTTTGACTAAAACATAGATCAGATTTGAGGAAAACGAGCCAAAATATATGTGAAAAAATGTGTCAGAAAAATGCTGGGATTGTCACCATGAAGCCTAAAAACTTAGAAAGCAATCTCTGTGCCATTAGGCTGAGCAACTCGAAATTAACTTTCTGACAGAAACGTGCGTCAAATATATATCTTTCAGATTGCTACACCACACTTGCTACTACACTATATGGTTAAAGTGTAGCTGGCTTAGGAACATTTTTGTGGCTCTGTAAGTCTAAATGTGAGCCTGTGTAAATATTTTAGACCATGTCTGAAATGGTGCAAACCCACCTTAAATTCAAAATTCCTGTGAAAAGAATTGTATTGTTAAAAGTTAAAATAAGCTTTTAAATTAAAAAAATGAGAACTCATTCCAATACATTAACGCCTATGTGACTTTTTAATAAAGATTAATACATTTTACAATTGTGGGGTTTCGGTAAAATCTAGGTTGTGTAAGTGATGATAAATCATGTAATCTATTTGTCAAACTGTTTTATGATACCTGGTAAAATAGGTAAAAATGTTATTTAATAATTGCGACAAAATCACTGCTTCTTGTTGTCTATATGGGGAGATAAAAAGGTTAAGGATAAAACGCTGGTGTCTTGTTGGTGAGATGTAAGCCTTGAACATCATTATCAGTTTGTACAATGATGTATATAAACTACTGTGTAAATAAAAAAGCAACTTTTGTAATAAAAAAGCAAAAAAACACAATATTATAATTTTTTTTCATAGTGTCATTTTGAAACGGTAAACTGTGCTGTTTTTTCCTAATGTGGATTATTTTGATGTGATGAATTAAACATTACACTGCCTCTGACTGATGTGTATGTTATGGTTTGGATGATAAAGAGATAAACTTATAAAAATTGTATTGGAACTTAAATATAGAGGCAGGGATGGAAAAATGGTAAACAAACCAGAAAGCAAATCAGAATTAATTAGTAGAAATTGAGAATGAGTGAAAGAAGGGCAGCTGAACAATGGAGACTAATTAATTAGACTAAAGCAGAAACAAAGAAACTCCGGAACAAATCTAGCAATAAATCTAACAGGAAGCTAAACACAAAAGAAATACTTAGCCTAAGTTACAAAGTACCTACCAAATACCATTGTGCACATTTGCCGGTAAAACTTTAATGGTAATATCAACAACAAAGTATGGCAAGATTGTTAAGAAAATATAATAAACACATAAAGTAAAGACAAAATAAACAGCATGTAAATAAAAGGAACCAAGAAACATCAAGACTGTGACACTAGAGACATTTATGTGATGCATACATCCATCTAAAATTACAATTTCTGTCTTAACTGGTATAAAAACTTTATCATCTTTCCCATCTCCTGGGGTTTGTCTACTTTTTGATTCTAAAATAACAAAATGTGTTATAAATAGTTGTTGGTCAGGATACTGAAGCATTAATAAAAATGTTTACCACGGGAAAAGATAAGCACACTTGTGATATTTTTAAAGTATGGAAGATGGAAAGGAGCAACCAGGTTTCCCTATTTGAAGAATGAGCTTTTATTGTTCATCATAATTTTGGGAAAGGTTATAGGACCAATTCCAAACTGCATGAAGTTCATAAACGTACTGTGAGAAAGATTATTTATAATCCTTCCTTAAGGTGACAGCCTGGGAAATTCAATCCAAACGCTCAGAAAAAACACTCAAACTCATTTGTATGTTAAAAGCTCTAGAAATTCATTTGGGTTTAATTTGATAATCATTGAAAATAAAATAATTATTCGGTTCATATGTATCACACCCATCTATTATGCAAACTCTACACTTATTTCTTTTTTTTTGGTAAAAAAAAACATGCACAAGCCCTCTTCGTTTCTCCCCATGCTTGCTCTGTTTAAAAGTTGTTGTTTGCATCTTTCATAAAAGCTCACTTTCCAAAAGAAGATTTGTAATTTTTCCACTATGTCAGACTCACCACCGGTAAGTGAAAATGGGGATGAGTATGTACGTAAACATATAACCAGAATGATTGATAATTAGGAGGACCACTTATTTTGATGATCCACCTGGAAAAAGAACATTCTCCACTATACCTTTAAGGCAGGGGTCCCCAAACTTTTTCCCGTGAGGGCCACATAACTTTTCCCTTCTCTGATGGGGTGCCGGGGTCAGTTTGTAACAGAAAAATTGTAACGATTGCAAGGTGCCTAAACATAAAAAAATGTATTGTTTTCCAGAAAGCACAATCAAATAACCCTTTCTGGATTATTCACAGAGCAAGAGTCAGGAAATAAATTACAACTCTATTTATGAAATAAATAATAACCAAAAAACACTCTCTGGGTTCTTCACATAAAAAAGTCCATGGAACATAAACTTTCTGTTGTGCCGTGCACAATCTTAACAGGTCCAAGTTCAGCTTAGTTGTCAGAGCAGAATCTCTTTCTTAAATGTCTCATATGAGCAGGCCCTCAAAGTTCTTGTGTTCCTTCCTTATTTGTAGGTTCCAATAGCTTGTGGACATCACTGTTTACAGCTCTATCTCTCATCAACTTCCCTCGGAAACCCACAAAGCAAGCAGACTAAGAAACTGAACTAAGTGATACAGCACCTACACAGCACAACCAGTATCACTATCACTATCAGTGATTTTGAGAGTTTGTCTGCTTGCATTTGGCCTTGCAAGCTATCATACTTGTCTTTATGACGGGATTCATAGTGTCTCTGCAGGTTATATTCTTTGAATACCGCCACTGCCTCTTGACAGATGAGACAGACAGCCTTTTCTTTGCATTGAACAAAAAAAATAATCATTTGTACAATTCAGGTTAAATGCCCTGCATTCTGAATCAATTTTTCTCTTATCTAATCTTTTCATCATTAAAGTCAAAATTCTGACTTTAATCTCAGAATTCTGACCAAAAAAAAAAATCAGAATTTTGAGATTAAAATCAGAATTCTGAGATAAAAGTCAGAATTGAATAGACTATTATTTTTATTTTTTTGAATGGCCCTAATCCTCTTCCGTATTTCTTTAAGAGGGGTGGTTTTAAGATTTTTTGCTGGGGGTTGCCAGATAGGGGCACAGACCCCAAAAGGGTGGAACATTGTCACGTTATATGCGTGTATGAAATAGTTACTAATAGTTAATAATGAAAAAACTTCATAATTAAGGAACATTTTATTGCAAATGTCCAACTTTATTATCAAATACAAAAAAAATAATAAATAAAAATACACTTATATTCAAATTTCCTCCTGGTATTGTTCAGGGGGCCAGCCCAAATGTGGAGGCGGGCCGGATCTGGCCCACGGGCCATATTTTGGGGACCACTGCTTTAAGGTTTCAGTTACTATATAAATACGATATCGACAGTAATCATCTTTAGTAAATTCGAACACATTTGTGTTAGGATTATCAAATTTTTAAGGGCAACCGAATTGTTTAGTGGGTTCTAGTTTTAATCATTTCTCACCAATTATTTAGAAATATATTTCTCAGTAAACATCCGTATAGATTCCAGCAAACATATACATATCAAACCGGCACAATCTTTATAACGAATGGGGAAAGGGGGAGTATGTATGCCGTGTAACGTAAAGTGTGGCAGGGCTACTCATAGACATTAATGCCACCCTGTTAAAAGTGGCTTATTTGCGATGAAAGTACTAGTTGTGATATATAATCACAAAAGTTCTGAAAATATTCCATGAAGGTTGAAAGTTACTTTGAGCTTTTATAGTGTACCAAAAGTTTTAGGGTACAAGAAATTATATCTTTTAATTTAGCATTTTCTTCTGAATACTTTCTTATTAAATAGGAAGTAACTTATTTATATCTTCATTTAGTTTATTGATATTGTTTTGAAAAGAGTAGGCCTATTAAATTCCGGATCCGCACTCCTTACTAGTAGGTGGCGGTAATGCGCCATTAAGTAGTTTGCCGACCGGCAAAAGCAACACATAAGCAGAAGAACTACTTTATTTTGAAAAATCCAGACCGGGAAGTGTGACGTCATTCATGTTCTAAACCTACCGCGAGGGAACATTTTTGTTAGAGGAAATATAGTACAGCAGAACAAGTGCTATAATTTTCCCTTTTTACGCATCAGACTGTCAGTCCGTGGATATAGAAATTGAAAGGCTCTTTCTCCTCCGCTATATTAGGAGCTACTTTAGCTTTATAGCCACGTGCTATCCGCGGTTTGCAGGCTAAGGGTAAGTTTGGAGACAATTGCTCCGGGTGCAAACTGTTTTAACGGAGAACTACTATTTAATTTTACTATATAAACTAATTCTGAATTTGACTAAAGTTGGTTAATAAATATATAACGTTGTGCGGTTCGGAAGTATAGAGTATGTCAGTTGGTGATTGGAGTAATGATGGGACAACCAGCGACTCAGACGAAGTGAGTACATTATCATCGGAAGGCTTTTTTTTTTTTTTTTTTGCTTCCGCTTTACCAAATACAAACAAATGTCCCGTTCATTACTGTTTTTCCTCCCTTTTTTGACAGCCTAAGCTCCCTCTCAACCAGTTCTATCCATACATCCGCTGTGCACTTTGCTGCGGCTTCTTCATTGATGCCACCACTATCACAGAATGCCTTCACACATGTGAGTTACCACCTTTAGTTTATCTTTGACCGAACAGCTTCTGTCACACCACTACATAACAGATACTCTCTGCCCATGTTAGTAAAGGCTACCTTTAAACAAAACCACGTAACTTTTATTAGTTGTATGTATGTATGTATGAGTATATGTATGTATATGTGTGTATATATATATATATATATCAGTGGCGGCCGGCCCATAGGGGGCGCTGGGGCACCGCCCTCCCTGATAAGAAGAGAGAAACGTAAAATATATTTTTAGAAATTAACTCATAAATGTCAGTTTTACTCTCTAGACTGTGTAACTATAAGCAAAACAAATTATATAAACTACATTTCCCTATCTACTGTCATTAATTTGTGGATTTCCACAGACAGACTCCTACCGTCTCTGTTCTGGGGGCGCTGATCAGACTGACCCACATTTGCAGAGAATCTGTCAATCATGTACTATTGCTAGGTGAATTTAATGGCCAATCAGCGTCTCGGAACTTTATGGTATTGGGGCGCTGAAAATACTGCGCTTTTACAGGCTTCTGAACCCAATGCGCAGGTGCAGGCAATTAGAGGGAAGATGGCGAATGTAACGAGCGAGATGCAGCTTCCACCAAATTCGGTGAGATCCTTATTTATCTACCCGTTTGCCAGAAGAACATCCCTGTTGTATGATATGAACATTTCATGTCATGGTTATTGTGACTGTGACAAATCCACCTCGTCGCTTAAAACAACCTCTCTAACTTTGCGCGCCACACACACATTCCTGTTATACTGTGTTTGTGAGGACCAATACACTCGCGCTGAGATCAGTAGCTCTATTAACTTAAAACACACAAGCTGTTCCTGGTTACCTGCTGGCGTATTGAGGGTGCACACTTAATATTTCAGTGGGGTTAGCCATGTGTGTGTGTGTGTGGGTATGTGGGGGGTGTGGGTGTTTATGCGGGGACTTGTCATCTTCAGTCTGGCTGCGTCTTTGCTGGGTTCAAACCCAGTTTGGTGTAATTGAATAAGTCAATGAAAAAAGAATTGTGTAAAAGAATTGTGTAAAAGAATTAAGTTGTAAAAATTATTTGTTTTTGTACATCAATTGTTTGTGGAGGTAATATATGGACAAAACTGATTAATGAGAAGAAATCAGAAATAAGAGAGCCTGAGGGGAGGGGCTTAAACTATTTAATGAGGGCTGTGGGGAGAAAAGCGGCAATTTTTGTTTTCTGTTTCTTTGTTACATTGCTGGTAACTGGAGGGAGGCTGAGGCCCAGAGTATCTTGTACATGTTTAGTTTCTTTTGCACCCTGTTTTGAGTTTTTGAGCACAATAAATCACCAACACTGGTAACCCGACTGAGCCTGGATTCTTGGAGGCCAAAGAACCCCGTCACAGTGACCCAAATCATCACTGTTACTGTTATTATATAGTAAATTAAATCATTACTGTTAAATTGTATGTATTGTCCAATTGTTTATTTGAATTCTTATTCCGGGTTAGTTGGAGACATACACTAGGCTATATCAGCCCCACCAAAAATATTTTTCACCAGCCGCCACTGATATATATATATATATATGTATATATATATATATATATCAGTGGCGGCTGGTGAAAAATATTTTTGGTGGGGCTGATATAGCCTAGTGTATGTCTCCAACTAACCCGGAATAAGAATTCAAATAAACAATTGGACAATACATACAATTTAACAGTAATGATTTAATTTACTATATAATAACAGTAACAGTGATGATTTGGGTCACTGTGACGGGGTTCTTTGGCCTCCAAGAATCCAGGCTCAGTCGGGTTACCAGTGTTGGTGATTTATTGTGCTCAAAAACTCAAAACAGGGTGCAAAAGAAACTAAACATGTACAAGATACTCTGGGCCTCAGCCTCCCTCCAGTTACCAGCAATGTAACAAAGAAACAGAAAACAAAAATTGCCGCTTTTCTCCCCACAGCCCTCATTAAATAGTTTAAGCCCCTCCCCTCAGGCTCTCTTATTTCTGATTTCTTCTCATTAATCAGTTTTGTCCATATATTACCTCCACAAACAATTGATGTACAAAAACAAATAATTTTTACAACTTAATTCTTTTACACAATTCTTTTACACAATTCTTTTTTCATTGACTTATTCAATTACACCAAACTGGGTTTGAACCCAGCAAAGACGCAGCCAGACTGAAGATGACAAGTCCCCGCATAAACACCCACACCCCCCACATACCCACACACACACACACATGGCTAACCCCACTGAAATATTAAGTGTGCACCCTCAATACGCCAGCAGGTAACCAGGAACAGCTTGTGTGTTTTAAGTTAATAGAGCTACTGATCTCAGCGCGAGTGTATTGGTCCTCACAAACACAGTATAACAGGAATGTGTGTGTGGCGCGCAAAGTTAGAGAGGTTGTTTTAAGCGACGAGGTGGATTTGTCACAGTCACAATAACCATGACATGAAATGTTCATATCATACAACAGGGATGTTCTTCTGGCAAACGGGTAGATAAATAAGGATCTCACCGAATTTGGTGGAAGCTGCATCTCGTTTGTTACATTCGCCATCTTCCCTCTAATTGCCTGCACCTGCGCATTGGGTTCAGAAGCCTGTAAAAGCGCAGTATTTTCAGCGCCCCAATATCATAAAGTTCCGAGACGCTGATTGGCCATTAAATTCACCTAGCAATAGTACATGATTGACAGATTCTCTGCAAATGTGGGTCAGTCTGATCAGCGCCCCCAGAACAGAGACGGTAGGAGTCTGTCTGTGGAAATCCACAAATTAATGACAGTAGATAGGGAAATGTAGTTTATATAATTTGTTTTGCTTATAGTTACACAGTCTAGAGAGTAAAACTGACATTTATGAGTTAATTTCTAAAAATATATTTTACGTTTCTCTCTTCTTATCAGGGAGGGCGGTGCCCCAGCGCCCCCTATGGGCCGGCCGCCACTGTGTATATATATATATATATATATATATATATATATATATATATGTGTGTGTGCATATGTGTTTGTATATATGTTTGTATATATATATATATGTGTGTGTGCATATGTGTTTGTATATGTTTGTATATATATACATATGTGTGTGCATATGTGTTTGTATATATGTTTGTATATATATACATATGTGTGTGTATATGTGTTTGTATATATGTTTGTATATATATACATATGTGTGTGTATATGTGTTTGTATATATGTTTGTATATATATACATATGTGTGTGTATATGTGTTTGTATATATGTTTGTATATATATACATATGTGTGTGTATATATGTTTGTATATATATATACATATGTGTGTGCATATGTGTTTGTATATATATACATATGTGTGTGCATATGTGTTTGTATATATATATGTGTGTGTATTAGGGATGGAACGGTTTGTGAAAAAACCGTCCGAACTATTCGGTTCGACTGTCTCGGTTCGGTTCGCATGTTTTGCTTTCGGTTCATGCCCTGCTCCTTTTTCTTATAGGTGAAGCGATTACACTCCAGAGCATAAGGTGGCGGTACTGCGACCAAAGCCAACCGCCAGTAGTAAACAAGAAGAAGAAGCGAAGCAGCTTTGCCGGGTGTAGCAGAAAAAAATCAGTTGTTGTGGAGTTTTGTGTTGGTATGGCGAGTGGGAAAGAACAGGAGTTGGAAGACGCGCCAGCAGCACTTTATAGGTCTGCTGTATGGGACCACTTTGCATTTAGAGTGACCTACGATGACGGCGGAAAGAAAGTTGTGGATAAAAGTGCAACGGTGTGCAAGCATTGTGCAACACGTTTTGTTTATGCTAACAGCAACATGACCAACATGTCAGGCTAACCCCAAAATCCCACATAAGCGCCCCGCTGCGCTCCAGACCGCCTGCACAAAACAAAGCATACAGCCTCCGCTGTGGCTCCCGTCCTGCCCGCTCTGAGTTCCTTGGAGATCGTAGAGGGCATGCGCGAGATGATTAAATGATCCATGGTTTCTGCGGATCATTAAAAATAATTACAATTCATTAATTTTTTTGGATTTTTTTCATTAATTTCATAAATTTTCATTTTTACATTAATTTTTATAATTTTTATTTTTTATTTATTTTTCGGTGTAACAATAAACATATACCGAACCGAACCGAAAACCGTGACCACGAAACCATGAATCGAACCGAACCGTGGATTTTGTGAACCGTTCCACCCCTAATGTGTATGTGTATATATATATATTTATGTACATATGTGTATATATATATATATACATAAATGTGTGCATATGTGTTTGTATATGATAAATAGTGAAAACGGCCATTGTTTGTATAGAGTCATGACTTTTTTGATCAAAACATGTGCAAATTATGAAATATGTTTTAACTGTGTTTCAGTGTATATATGTAAAAGAAAAAACAATCAAAAGAAATATTTGGGTCCCAGCAGAAAACCTTTGACTAATATTCAGATAAATCCAAGGCTCTATTAAATGTATCTGCCGTCACTCTGACAAAATAAGCCTAAGCATATAATAACATAAATTTCTGTTGTGCTTTTTCAAGTTTGCAAAAGCTGTATTGTGAGGCATTTCCTCTACAGCAACAGATGTCCAACATGCAGCATCTTGGTGCACGAGACACAGCCTCTTTACAACATCAGGTGGGTTATGTCATCCAATAGTACCTGGCAGATGCTCTATAGCTGTCAGCCAAGCATCTGACTGGTATTTCGTATAAATACTGCTGTAGAAGAAGATGCTTATAATAACTTTATGTTTACAGGCCAGACCGACAGCTTCAAGACATAGTTTATAAAATGGTTCCCTTCCTGGAAGAACGTAAGAATGTTGAAATACACAAAAAAAAGAAATGTGAGTCTGTGATCTTTTTTTTTTTTTTTTTTTTACTTTTTTTTAACTTTTTTTTACAGTTGAAAGAGAAAGGATGTGTAAGTTCTACAAAGAAAGAGGACTTGTTGCGCCAAAACCAGGTGAGGATGTCCAGTCTGTCTAAAATCAGATTTTAATATACAGCACAAGTGAATTATTTATGAACTGTGTTGTTTGATCTTTGCAGTGCCTGTTTCACCTCAAAGTCCAGTTGTGCTAAAGAGGCAAAGAAAAGAAAACTTTCCCAAAGCTGTGTTCACCATTCCCCGGGAGCTGAATATGTCTATCCTCTTGGAGTTTGTTGGGTAGGTTCCCTTCCTTTCTGACTGCAAAGTCCTCTAAAGCTACTGTTGGGGTAGAAATACATTCACAATGTCAACCTTTTCACACCAAGCATATTATCATACAATAACTAGGGACGTTCCAATACAGCTTTTTTTATTTACGATACTGCAGCTTTGATTATACACCCGATAGCATGTTGGCATGAATCATACATACTTTGATTAAGTGATATCACTTAAGCAGAATAATAGTAAACAACAGGTATGAGAATAACAGAACCATGTATTAACTAGTGGGTTTCATAAACTTTAGTAGTAGGTAAAAGTGTTTCTATCGGCTTGCCAAGATATTCCAATATTCATTTTTTAAAAACATATCTAACTAATATTTCGTTATAAATAATAAAACATATCTTACCTTAGTTGTCATTGTTAAATTATATTTAAAAAAAGACATAATTTTATTTAGTATCCTTAACAGTAATGCAAGTCATTAAAATGTGAGGTGCTGTATACATTAATTACACATTTTATACATTAATTACACATTAACATTTTTTCAATTTCAATTTTTCTCAATTTCAGATGATTTTTCTCTTTTTTTTTGTAGCCCTGACTCTGTAGTGAAAGTGTCATTAATTTATTTATGGACAGTGAATAAATTAATGTATGGAACAGTTCAATAATCCAGCAGGATGTCCTCCTATTTTTATTGCTTTTAAATAGTAAAGGAAATCCTATTTCTCATGACTTTCCGCTTTGATTTCAGGGCTGAAAATGGAATCAGTGATTTTAAGGTAAATGATTTAAGATCTCTATATTAATAACAATGTTTAAAATATAAACATATATGATTGGTGCTTTATAACAATTAATGCACTTTGTTTTCTTAATGCTTTGTTCTCTTTTAAATGGAACCAACATGGACTTTATGACCTCTGCCAAATGCTGCTCTTTAACCTACTACAATCAGCTCTCTGGTTGCTGTTTGGGTTTTTGCTATGCTGTTAAAATTGTCATCTATCTGGACCTGCATGGCTTTGTTTTTAGCCGTTGGAAAGGCCGTACATCTGCGTGTCGGGAGAGGCCACCATTCGCCATGTGGAGCTTTTCATCCGGAGGAAGATGGAGCTCAGCCCCATGTGCCAGGTCAGTCTGCAGTTTGACTGTTTGATTATTTCCTTAGAAAACCAAAAACACGAGGCTTCAAAATATAGTACTGAGGACAGTCTTTGGTCTGCTTTCTCACCTAAACATAGTTGTGTTAAGAGATAGCAAATCCTCTTTCCACAAGGTGAGAAATTATGCTGAATCAGCATTGCTTCTACCTAGTTAGGATGCTTTTCTGCATATTTTCTTTTGATTAAACATTAAATAAAAATTGGCTAAATACATTAACAAACTCGGGGCCTAAAATTCATAGCGAGAATAGCATATTATCTGATCCATCCCCACAAATCCGTTTTTTATGATGCGGGAAATTGCCTCTTAAAAAAATCATGGCGTTATGTAGCTACTAATGTGAACATTTTCGGATTCAGACAAAGAAAAACATCTCTGCTTCTCACTGGTGCGTGCTCAGTTTCTTTTCTTTTTTCTTCTTCTCTTGGAGCACAGTTTAGTTTTGGCTAGCAAACCAGTGGTTATCATATTTAATTTCTTTACCCTTTAAAATACTCCAAATATGGAATGCTGGCTAAAACGCAAATCTATGGTTGTATCAACAGAGGAATCAGCTTCTGGAAAAAATAACAACACGAATCAAAAGCGATGCCGGACCCACTGATGTCCAACAGGCGTCAATATCACTAAGCAGCTGAAAGATTTTGTGTCAGCCTAACTGGCTGAAGCTAAATCCCCGGTGAAATTAGCTGCTCCATCTTTAAAATGTTTGGTCCCGTACGCTTTACCAGCCAAAGCTGTAAAACCTTAACTTTGCGCCGCTACTCTGATGTTGTTTCTACCACTGCAGCAGTGAAAAGCAAACGTGAGGCAGATGCAGCTAAAAAGTCATAGCTAAAAGCTATCCACGATGCAGAAGAGCTTTGCTAAAATGACAAATGTGGAAAATTGTCTTAGTTTGAGTTTGGCACAGATATGGAAGTGGAAACAATATATTCACAGATGTGCTCACCCTGCCTAATTGGAGTCACTCTATACTCATTGTGACATGGAAAAAAATCGGATCGGAGATTAAAAAAAACTTTCACAACCGGCATGACCCAGGCTTAAGGGCGTTGGTCTAGAGCAAAATGAAAGGCTGTGCTTAATTTTAGACTTTTTTTGTTGTTGATTCAAAACTGGTCTCTCTTGAAAATGAGATTAATGCCTGAATCATTTAGCTCAATTTTTGTCAAGAGTAGAATTAGAAAATCAAAGGATGTTTTTAAATGGGACTATTTGTTTCAGAATGGATAAATCAGACTAAACTAAGGGTTATGGAACAGTGTCCCCGAAGCAACAACCTTTTATTCTGTTCTTGTTCATGTTAAGTAAAAATAAAAATCATAGTAAAACCTTAATCCTCATGTAATGTTACTGAAGTTATTCCACATAGTTTTATTGGCACTGGATGATTGATCATTACAGCTATAAGGCTTACAGTCAGAGGTGTTCTATGTTCATAAAAAAAAACTCTCCATCTGTAATCAAAAGAAGAGATTTCTTTATTGGATCTAGTCTTAGAGCTGCCCTTCTTGGTCCAGGCTAAACAAACCTGAATGTCACAGTTTCCATAGAAAAAGAGAAACTATCATTACCTTTTTTTATTTTACTTGCATCTTTGTCTAAAATATTTATGCATCTCCTGCAGGTAGATCTGGTCTGTGGCGATCACCTCCTAGATCAACAGCAGTCACTAAAAGAGATAAAGGAGTTTGTGGGTAACGAAGCATTTCAGGTAAAACACCCACTGTCGGATCATATAAAAGTTGCAGTATCTAACCTTTCAATTGACACTTACCTCTCATTTGCAGGATGGTCTGTTGGTGCTTCACTTCGGCTTAGTGCTACCCCAGCAGTCTTGAGCAGGAAGATTCTTACTGGTTAGCTGCACTACTCAAAAGTGAGGCACAAAAAATTGCCTAAGAAATCAGTCAACCTTAGAGCTTCAGAGGGTGTGATTTAGGTTTCAAATCGGCTGTTTTGTACTAAATCAAGAATGTTAGAATGTGCTACAATCCACAGTATTATGCTGCCACCACCGTGTTTGACAGACTGTAACATGGTTGCTTCACATTCCCTTTAGAGGCCTTACCTCATTTTCTCAAAATACAATTTTTGCTTTATGCTCAAGTTGCTTTATCGCTGTCTCATCACACCATAGAACTTTAGAAAAGTTTGTTCAGCTGTTGCAGATCAGAGTTGAGCTTGAATGACCCTTTAAGAGTGGTTCCCTCTGTATTAATAGTTGAAGTTTGGAATTAGCGTTTCAACAGAAAGATCCCAAAAGACATAAAGCAAGCTCAAGGGAAACACATTGCTAAAGGAAATACAACCACTACTACTAAATCTGTATGTTTATTTATGAGTCTGTATGTATGATTTTGACTGAATGAGAGGGAATAACTAAAAAATTTTCTTCTTTTTTTCACAAATCTAGCTGCTGTGTATGAGTGGAAGTAAACATCTGTGTTGTTCAGGAAAGCCTCTGTCTACTTAAAATGTGAATAAAACACTATAGAGACTTGATTGTTGTTTTTTTTTTTAAAGCTACAGTGTGTAATTTTTAGCGACATCTAACGTCCAGACTGCAGACCGCAGCAACATGAACATCTCCCCCCCCCCCAGCAGAACGGCGAGCGTTACGGGACAAAATGTCTTCCACAACGTCCGCATCACCTACCTTCTCAAGTGATGAGGTTTGTTTACATAGATAATTTTAAAGATAGTATTCTCAATGCATAATACTGCCATCTATTGTTCAGTACCGTCTCAGTTTATCTCTCTCAACTTGTCGTAGTTACTTTCGAGCGTAATGGGCGATCTCGCAGTCGCAAGTTTGTTGGCTCTGCGCTGCCGTAGCGCAAAGATGTCTGCCTCCATGGCTGCGAGACCCGCTCCTATGTAATTATAAATAACGAATTCTAAGGCAACGCGAATATTAAGTTTAAGAGGCTGAGCTCGTAGATGATGATAAATAACATAGTTATGTATAATATATTAAATTTCTGACTGCATATCCCTGTAATTATTACACACTGTAGCTTTAAACAAATTAAACAATATTAACACTTTTTTTTGTTTCCAGCTTCTCTTATACAGACATTTAGTCCACAAAGTTTAGCTGCTGCTTTTGATAAAACTAGTTTTTAACTGTTTGTATCTCTAAATGAACAAGAAAAGCAGATCTTTCTAGTTTGATTAATAAACTTTTTTTGGTCTTGATCTGTAAAGCTAATATTGGTGTAAAGGGCTGCAAGCTAAGTGAGAGCTATGACCAAATGCTGTTTTTTATATCTGGTGATTAGATCTATTTTTTGATTAGCTGATGGATTGATTATTTGATGGAACCATTCCGTTTGTTTAAAATGAGTGCTTGAACTCGCCTGTGATCACCTGTTTCAGGTAAATCCCTTTTTTATGTTTGTCATATAAATTTAAGTATTAAAAAAATGCCTCAAGTTTTCTTTATTTTAGAAATGGTTAAATGGTTTTTTATTTGAGATTTTTTTGAACCCTAAGCGATTTAAGCCATTTTGACTTAAAGCTTTTGAATTCTGCCAAGTTTAATCAAAAGGGCTAAAACTGATTTCACAAAATATCATCCCAGCCATAATGGCTGTCTGTTTTTTCCAGGGCTCAGTTCTTGGACCATTTTTAATCATTCCTATCACTACAGCATTTAACATGCTGACCTCATTTGTTGCTTTTAAAATTCTACCACTTCTATTTAATCTGCTTTTTGTTTGTTGGTAAGTTATTTGAAGGATCTTAATCACCATCATTAATTCAACATTTAAAGATGCATATTGGACAGATGATATCATAGATTGCCATGTAAAAACTTTAGGCTATGTTTCAGCAAGTCTGAGATTGCTTTTCAGCAACATCCCTTCTGGACTAAAGTAATTTGTTCATGCAATAATCTTGACAAAATCTCATGAAATTTGATTCATCGATGTGCTATATTCTGTTACTGGTGGAGAAAACAGTTTTCTCCATTGTCATCTACTGGTCTGTTTTTTGTTCAGACACATGTCCTCTGGGGTTACTTCCTTATTTTTTCTTTTTTTTTCTTTGCGTAGGACGATTTTCAGCTCGAGTCCAAATGAGTCTGATGTTAAGACAATTTAGGAACCCACTAAAGGACATCTATGTTACTGTATGAATGAAAGGTTTATGTATAATTATGTGCAAACATGAAATAGCGTTTTTAAGATTTGCCCACTAGATGGCGTTTTATTTGCAGCAAGATTTGCATTTGTACTTTTTGCTTTAGAATGCCAGTTGAAGTGTATTTTTTGTGTGTGTTGAACCAGTCCACCACAGGACAGCCCAGGGATACAAAACCACAGACTTTTGAAAATTTTGGGCAGTCGATTAAAGTTGCACTCGTGTTTTTGATTTGTGATGCGGTATGTGGAGAGATCCCGCCGATGCATGGATTGGTGGAATCTCCCCACCATTACATAGAAAAAGGAACCCAAGGATTCAAAACCCACAACCTTCTTGGAAGAGCACAGGAGCACTAACACCTGCCCCACCTTTGAGCCCACAAATGCTCTTCATTTAAATTGACAAAGTAAAATTAATTTGTCTGAAGTAGTTTTAAAAGCCAGATTAAAGTGGGTAAAATGTGTCATTTTTCATCAATTATTCTTCAGTCCTTTTGAACCTGTTGGTTCACCTGACAAGCATCTATCAGGACGACCTGCAGTTTGCCGTCTGGAGAAAAACAAATCCATATATAGAAAGGTTTGAATTATCTTTTCAAAGGCAGAAATGTAAGTGTAAAATGATCATTTATGAGCAAGGAAACATCAGTTAACATTTTAACCTGAAAGCTGTAAAAGAAACAAACATAAGTCCAAAATTTAGAATTTCTCATGAGTCCCAATGAAGCCTTTCAGAATAAGTCACGATTCAAGAATAGTTATCATCCAATTTTTATTTATTTTGAGAATGGGTTAAAAAAAAATAAAATGTAATCCCATTGGTATGTCTCACAGTAATAGCTAATGAGACCATGTGCTCTATTATCCAGTAGACTTAAAAACTGACTCAATGCTTACCTGCCTAGCTGTACTTATATGCTAGATGAAGGAGCAACAATTAGCTAACAGTTAACTCTTTAATATGTACTCCTAGGTCATTGCTTCTGTGTTTTAGAACTCTAGTTGGCCATCGCAGATGGCTGTTCATACTAAGCCTGGTTTTGCTGAACCTTTCTTCCTATTGAAGATCAGTTTTCCTCTCCACTGTCGCTACATGCATGTTTGGAATGAGCAATAATTGCAAAGTCGACACAAGCGACTGTCTAATGCTGCTAAAAGCTCACCCAGGAGGAGTGAATATTGCAAGTCTGACTAAACACAATCTCATGTGTTTCCTTAGACAGAAAACTTTGAATTAACTGTCAAATAAATACAAATGAAATAAAACTATTAATAAATTGGACTTGACTGCATAGTTTGATAATGATGGTCGATGGGAATGTATGTACCTGACTGAATTCGTCTGCTGATTGGTTTAAATTGTCCTTTCTTTGCAAAAAACCCTGAGACCATGTTTGTTGTTAACTGGTGCTACAGTAATAAACTGAAGAGCATTCTCTATATCTGCCTATTTTATCTGCATGTTGCGCTTTTATTCTACGTTCCTTCACTGTGAGCAACCAGAGAGCTGAGCCCTCTGGCTATGGAGAAGGAGAAGAGAGTCATGCAGAATATTGATCATTATCTATCATTATGTATCATGCAGTGCAGGGTACATGTCAACATAAAATTATTTTGGCCTAACGTTCAGATTTTTTTTTATTTATTTTTTTTATGTCCCAGTATGGTTCCAGTGTAAAGTTTACACATCTGCTTATGAATGCAATTGCTGTTCAGTTGTTCTGAATCATTTAGATAATACCAGCCTGGTTGGTTAATTCCAAAACCAGGTTTGCTGTGTATTTTTGAAACATCTTCCGGATGGAGGACAGAGCTTGTAACAATCATGATACCAGTGGGGTTAAATAATTGGTATTTCTTTCAAGTCTACCTGACTTCGCAGTAGCAACCCTTTTTTATTTTATCTTTTTCACCTATTTATTCGTTAATTATTATTATTTGTTTTTTTTCCCTTCATCATCCAGGAACACCGTCTATTTTTGCTTTTATCCTTATAGTTATGTTAATTGTCTGACCATGTGTTGTAAGCTGTTATTTTTTGTATACTATGCCATGCAAGCTTTGTATCATACTTGTTTGATTGTTTAAAGGAAAATAAAAAACTTGAATAACAAAAAAAAACAATTATGATACCATACCATCAACATTCACCCATCTAACTGTTGGTTAGCAGCAAAGTTCAATATATTCAGTTCAATTAGTTAGTTTCTATCTTTGCATAGCACTGGGAGTAAACTGACCCTACACCATGATGCAGCCACTACCGTGCTGGACAGATGTTAGGCTTGTCTGTGCTCAATCTGATCTTGTGAGTGTGGCCAGTAACTTAGGTCTTTGTCTGAAACATTTCTCCAGAGGACATTTGGCTCGTCCACGAAGGACGTTTCACATTTAGACAAGCTTGAAGGTTTTTCCGTCTCTCTCTAAGTCAGTACAACCAAACACATCCATCAGAACTATGCCAGAAGTTTGCTAATGGCTACAGAAATAGTGCTGATGTGATTAAACATGCTAAGAGACATTCAATAAATTCAAACATCTGCACCAAACTATTGATTTAAAGATGAACTGTAGCATTGAGGCTCATGAGTTGGTGTAAACTGACTGGAGCTGTTGATACAGAGCAAATCTGCTCTCCCTCCAGATGTTCAGTTATTGGAATTAATGTCAGCCTCTTCTTTGTCTTCGCTGATGTCCTTGAAGCTTTCCTTTGCGGCTCCTCCTTTCTCTCTTTGGCTGCTTTTGAACGATTCGGTAGCACCTCTGGTTTGGTAGCCATAGCTTGAAGAGCTGAATGACATCCCAGAGTTAAAGTGAGTCTCCTCCCCCTCCAGTAATTTTCTAAAAACATAAAGAAAACATGTAATAAAATAACAACATGAAAACAGTGATATAAAAAGCAGATTTTCTTATAATAACATCTGCCTTTTACAACTAACTAGTTCTGTATTACAGGTTTAAGAACCAGACGTTCAGCTTGCTCCTTAATAGTAGTTACTTTCTCACTTTCTGTAAAAAAAAAATCATCACCTAAATAGAAAAAATATTTTAAAACAGCAATCAGACAAGCAACGATTCTCTACCAAATTATTAAATTCAGAATACAAAGATGTGGTTTGAGGAAAATACATCCCATGACTCAGCAGCTTGTGGAACCTCCTTCAGCAGCAGAAACTCTCTGCAGTTACTTCCTGTCTGATTTTATCAGTCCCTCACTTCCTAAGGAAGGGATTTTGCTCCACTTCTTTTACAATTTTGCTTCTGAAAGTCTTTTAAGACATCTGCTGCCTCTCAGCTGTCTTAAGGTCCCTACACAACAGACTGAGGTCTGGACTTTGTCTGCACTGTTGCAATATCCTTTGATCTGCTGCTGTGTTCAGGATAGTACTTCTTGTAGCCAAGGGATTGGACAACCTGCCCAAATCATCCACCTTAACAGGTAATGCCACCTGAGCAAATGCTCAAATAGACAGAAAATGTAATATTCCCTTCCATCTAAACCAGGGGTCTGCAACTCTTATAACATAAAGACCCATTTTTAAGTTCCTTCCAGATAAAAAAAAAACAGTTTGAAACCACAAAAATTATATCACAATTATATCATCAAGATATTATCTACTAGCACAGGAGATTTATACGTTTTAAATAACATTTCAAATTTTAGGTTTTAATCTAAAAAAAATAAAAAAAAACGTGCAAAAAAGCAAAGGAATACATTTTCTATAGATTGTTAATATTGTTTGTTAAATTCTGTTTTAATTCCCCTCATAAAATGGTCAAAACATATTTTTTTATTATGTCAAGTAATTTTTTACATTGAAAAAAAATATATATGTCTTCAGTCCTGCTAATAAAAACTTGTTTAAAGCTGCAAACATCATGTGTCCTTTTAAAAAAAAGGAAAAGTGAACATATATTCGACAATTATCTATAATAGGTAGCTTGTATATTCCATTATGTTAGAAAAATTCCACTTCAATTTGGTTGAGTTAGTTTCTGGGAAATTTAATTAGTCTGACTGCAATTAGTCAGCTAAGAAATTGTTTCTTTTAGACGGTTGATTCTATCTAAACGGTTGATTTTAACACTTTTGATTAATCGTTGAATTGACCTATTGTTTGCATATTCCCCTGGCAGGAATGGCTAAGCTTGTTAGGATCAAGCGTCCCAAGTGGGTGAGGACTTTATGGTGTTTAACCATCTCCTGCTCTAATAGAGGTCGTCCCACTGATGATGATTGGACCAAGTGCTTTTATCAGTCTCTCCTGCTGCCTACTTTCCCTCCTTAATTCAGTAATAGCAACTGGGTACTTAGCTTATAACAGACCAATAAATGCAAAGGAAAGTTTAGACTTATATATCTTATAGACATTACTCTGAATAACTCCTGCTGAATGATGTGAAATGCCTCAGCTAAACTTTTAAACAAGAATTAACAAATTTCCTCTGTTTTTCAGCAGGTGAAAAACAAGTATTTTCTTAAATTGGCACCTGTAAGCAGCTATCTCGATATCCAGAGCCATCTTGACATTAAGGAGGTCTTGGTACTCCCTCAGGTGCTGAGCCATCTCCCCCTTCAGGTTCCTCAGCTCAGTATCCAGGTGGCTGATGGTATCCTGTAGATAATGAGAGAGTAGTTTAATCTGTTTGCAAAATCATTCCTTGGTGTTGATATTTTAGGCTTTTCTGTATCATAAGATACCCTGGAAAAGTATTCACTCCCCTTTGAAGTACTTTATTGTTACAAGCACATCATTTTTTAGGACTTGATGTTGAATCTCAATTAGATTTACGGTAGGTCTGGATTTTGGGCTGTTTCAACACATGACTATTTCTGATTGAAACCGTTCCATTGTAGCTCTGGCTATGTGTTCAGACTCCTTCTCTTGCTGGAAGGGGAACCTTCAACCTCACAACAGTTGATGCTTTGAATTGTATTGTGATGCTTTTAAAGGAGCCTTCTAAAGTTTATTAGAGGATTTCCTTTTTGTCTTCCAAAGCCTCCAAGGCTTAACTTTGTCCTTCTGTAAGAAGGCAGCGAAAGCCAGATGGCTTTTCCATATATAGCAGGTCGGAGATTAATCCAATAGACATGAAGCTTCACTTCAGTCGTCTCACAGTCACACAATCCTTCGAACACTGACGGTTGAATCTTGACCTCACCTTGAACTTGAATCAGACATTTCTGTCAGAAGTTTATCTCATTTATTCATCGCCTTCAAAACTCAGAACAAATCAGGAGGAAAATAATTTGATTAAATACTGCATCAGTTATTTAAGATTTGTTCTTTTTTGTGACAAATTACCTGCCACGTTGATCTAGACTCATGAAATGGGAGTTTTTTACTTTCAGGTTTATTACTAACGAATGCAAGTCATGTAATTTAGGGTTGTTTTTGTTTTTTTTCCTATTATGTATAATGTATTTAAGAACCATTTCAAGGTGTGCAAAGTAATATTATTACTTAAAATAGTGCTTCCCGGGTCTTAATGTTGAGATTCCCATTTACAGCTGTAAAGCTGCACAAAGAGGAGTTTTCTGTTGTGTTTTTCTGATCTTAGATTTAGACTTAGACAACTTTTATTGTCATTTTGTATACACTGAGTGTATATAAAACGGAATTTTGTTTAGTACAGCTTTTTAGACAGTAAATGAACATTTCAATTCCATAAAGTGCAGCACTGATCAAATGTAAACGGTCTTGGAGAAAAAAACATGCAAAAAAATGATATGGAAGTTTTGGTTTGGTGTTATCAGTGTGATGCAGAGTCTGTGAAATGATTTTTAGTTTTTTTCAACGGTTCAGAAGTCTGATGACAGTGGGGAAGAACTGTTGCAGAATCTGCTGGACCTGCTGATCTGACTTCAGGTCAAAGGTTAACTGGTCCAGACGTTTCTGGCTGAGCTGAAAACGTTCCCAACAGGGAGATACCCATTTTGGATATTTACGCCACAAAATGAAAGCAAACTTTAGTATTTAAGTAAATGCGAATTGAACTCTAACATGAAGCCTGTTTCTTTAATGAAATGAACTTGTTGGAATAATGACAATTCAAGAAGATTAAGAGAAAACTGGATACTTGCCTGCATGGCTGTGACCTCAGCATTGTGCGTGTCCTCCATCTCGGTGATCTGTCTCTCTAGAGACTCGTTGGCACCCCTCAGGGTCTCTATCTCGACAGTCTTAGACTGCAGCTGCCTCCTGAACTCGTTGATTTCCTCCCTGCTCGCCCTCATGGCCTCGTTACTCCTGGTTGCTTGCTCGCTAAGGCTTGCAAACTTGCTCTTGAACCACTCTTCTGCCGACTGCAGGTTTTTGGAGGCGATGGACTCGTACTGGCTGCGGATCTCCTTCAGTGCAGAGGTTAGGTCAGGTTTGGCGAGCTCAAGCTCCACAGAGACTTGCTGCGCCTCCATCATGGTACTGAGCTCCTCCATTTCCTCCTCATGCACCTTCTTTAGGAAGGAGATCTCATCCGTTAGCGACTCCAGGCGCCTCTCCAGGTCCAAGCGAACAGCTGCTGCATCATCCACATCCTTCCTGAAAGACCTCAGTGTCTGCTCTGCCTCCTCCCGTGCCCTCACCTCCTCATCATACTTCACACTGAGCTTCTGAGGTCCGAAAGAGATGCCAGACAGGACAAAGGATGATTTGGAAACTATAGTTTCTGCACTGGTTTAAATGTACATAAAACAGAACAGAGAGTTTAGTATTACCTGCAGCTCGTCCTCCATGTTGTTCCTTTCAATCAGTATATGGTTCTTGTCCCTGTTCAGCTCTTCCAGCTGGGAGCGCAGGTCTCTCATCTCCTGCTGGTAGAGAAGACCAATGCGGGAGGGCTCGCCATGTTTCTGCCGAAGGCTCACCAGCTCCGACTCCAGAACCTTATTCTGCTGCTCTAGCAGCCGGACTTTATCAATGAACATAGCGAAGCGGTCATTCAAACCCTGCATGGGGAAACAAATACTTGTTCATAATCAAAAACATTTTACTTCTTCAATAAATAAATAAAAAATGGTGTTTGTGTCATGATGTTAACTGAGACAAAGGACGTTACGGGAACAGGTTAATTCACTTTGCCAGGAGATAAAATGAGACCGGATTACTGAGCCTCCTGTATTATCTCTGGGAACATTCTTAGACACTGTAGGCTAAACTTCAGGACTGACTGTTTCATGCTGCCTTAATTTTAAAGGCTGACATCAGCTTCAGCTTTGCAGTGACTTCTGATATAATAATCAATCTATCAGTGAGGTGCTCAATCAAAGGAAATTTGATCGTTGTTATGTTACTTTAGCTTATTTAGATGTTTAGACACTTTTACTGCACACTTCTCTGGTATTCCCACCATGGTATTTTATAGGAAAAGTCCGGTCATATTCAGAATTCGAACTTTTAAAAGTACTTTAAATATGAAATTATTACATACTGTTCAATAAATGATAAGTGTTTTGATTAAGAGTAATTTTCATATGAATGTGCTTTACCTGAGACTTTACTGGAGACATAAACGGAGATCCCTGTTTCAAAGAACACTACTGCCACCTACCAGTTTGTGACGTCACAGTGCGGTATCGGCTGTTGAGCAAGTCCCAATGCTGTATCTGGTGTTTTTCACAACGTGCTATTATACAGATAATCTTGAAAAAAAAATTCTTTGAATTTGTTTGCTACATATGACGTGTTTTTTCTCTGGTCAGAAGTTCAAGGCAAATCCTCCCTCTTCGAGTTTATCAATCCAACGAGGAACCCGTGGAGGACCATTAATCGGAAAGGTGTAATAACAAATTTTTTCTCACTTTAACCCGATGTATTACAACATCCAACTGCCATGCATGTGGGCATTGTCAGTTTAACTATAGCTCTCACAAATTTCAATGCTGAAGTCCTCTGGCAATCTTAAATAATTTTTGTTGATTGCAGATGTGTCTAGTAGCTCCCGTGATTTACTAGCTTACCGCACCTTGACGTCACTCCCGTTAGATGTCAGGATTGAGGTGTTACTATATTTGCGCAAAAAATGGCTGCTCCAAGACTCAGTGATTGCAACGAAAATTATTGTTTTTATTGTTTTACTGATTAACGCTAAATTCATTAAATCACAGTGAATGTATTAGTTTTTAGGTATAAATAATGATCCATTGATTATTCCTTGCTGACCACACTTCTCCTTTAAAGACGATGAGGTCTGGACCATCGCTAAACCTGGATTATTTTGCATTCTGGTTTAGATCTCATGTTGTGTTTTGGATAATTATGCGATTGATGACCCAGTCAGGTTTTAGCTCCTCCTTGTCATGGCATGCAGAGGAGGCAGATTAAAGGTAATGTAACGTCAGATCAACCTAAATCATCATTCCTCCTCTACCGTGCTTTGTAGTTGGTATGAAACAATATGCAAGGTCATTGCAATTGTTTCATTTTGGGATTTTGTCCGATATGGACACCAATGGGTGCATTTAGTTTCCCCCCTGAAAGTAGTGAAATTAAAGAGACATGAGCAGTAAGCTTTGGATTAAATGTCAACATACTCCCTATTCCAATATATGTGGAATATGTCCCTGATTAATAAATATTTGGGAGGAAAAGTGGCAGCTTATAAAATATATTAAAACATCATTCCACATGTTTGATTACTTACCAAATATAGAAATAAATACAGCTAGTATACTGTATACATTTTTTTAATATAGATTAAGAGTCCCAAAGGTCCACTCTAGGTATATATTTATATATATATCTATATCTATATATATATATATATATATATATATATATATATATATATATATATATATATATATATATATAGATAGATAGATAGATAGATAGATAGATAGATAGATAGATAGATAGATATAATTCTATATATCAAGTATATATAATTTAGAGTTATATGTGTATATATTTATTTTATCTTGTGAGGTTTGTTGTATATATGTGTGTGTGTATGGTACACAAACTTTAAATCATTTCACAGTTGAATTTGACAACTTCTATTTATACTAAATAGTTATTTCAGTATTATAATAATAATATTATATAATATAATTATTTAATAATATAAAAGTCCTGTGAATTAAAGGTCAAAACTGAAAGCATTTCATACACAAACTAGTCAGCACCTTGGGCTCTAGATTTTTAGATTATTAACCAAAACTGTTTTAAGAACAGGTTTAAGAGTGTTTCCAACCTTTTCTCCTGTTGGTTTTAGTCTCACATACCTGCAGCTGCTCCTTCTCGTTGGTTCTGATCACTTTGAACTCGCTGTTGACCACAGAGGTTTGGCTTAGATCAAGAGAGCCGGTGGGAACCAGAGAGGAGGCAGCAGAGGACCGTCCGGTCCGCCTGTACATCCCCACTGAGGACGCGCCGTGGCGCGGCGCAGCCATGGCTCTGAGCCCCGGGATGGAGCGAGGAGGCGCGCTGCCCATGCGGGAGGCAGAGGAGGAGAATCTGGGAGAATCTCCGAAGATCTTGCGGTAGGATGACACGGTGTAGCGGTCTCCGAAGCTCATCCTGGCTGAGATGAAGAAGCAGAACTGCTGGACTTAAGGAGCTTTGATTTAGTTTAGAGGGCAGCAGGTGGAGCCAACCTTAACAGCTCAGCAGGGGCGGATTCAGGACATTTGGGGCCCTGGGCAAAGACAGGCAGGGGGCCCTCTGAACTGAGAAGACAACACATAAAATAGACCCAATATAGAGACACATAAGTTTTAATAGAATAGACATTATTTGTTCTATGTTTTTTTCCCCTCTCTTGTCCCATTTCTTGTTGTTTTCCTCTCTATGTTTTGTACTCAGCTGACTTTTCATGCTGTATCAAAAGGAATAAAAGATTTTTCCCAAGTACTAAGTTCACTTAGCTTATTGCTCCTTCCTGTTTCCAAAAAGGCAACCACAAAGTAAATAACACAGATCTTGAGTTGTTTTATTGGTTTATCTGGTGAAAATAAACAAGTCAGATGGGTATATATTTGTTTATTACGTTGCCTAATAACTCTGCACAGTAATATTTACCTGCACACACAGACATCCTCATAAAATAGCCAAATCTAAAAAAATAAAAAATAAATAAAAAACACATCAACTTCCAAAAATATGAAACTCAGATATTAAGGAGTCTTTTGGGTTGATTGAGAACACAATTGTGGCCCAATAACAAAAATAATCCTCAAAAATACAACTTGCCTAATAATTCTGCACAAAGTGTAGAAGGCAGAGCTCCCAGATGCCAAAAGCCTTCTTTGTCCCTGGTCTGGTATCACCCCTTTGGTGGACTGCCTTGCTCAGGCAGACCCAAACTATTTCAGGAGGCGGAGACTAGGAACCAGGAGCTCAGTCAGAGTGTTACCTCAGCCACTCTGCCATTACTGTGACAAACCGAGAACTTACAAGCATCACAAGAGAGAGAAACTAGAGGACTAGAGCGGCAGGGAGCATGCTGAACTGAAAAACTTAAAGGAGAGCACAGTCACTTGTTAGAGGAAGTTAAGAAAGAAAAGTTACTGCTAACCAGCCAGTTTGAAATTAAGAAGATGAAAGTGGAGCAAGAGAAGATGAAATGCTATCTGCCACAAGAAGCACTAAAGAAAAGGAACGGAAATCTATGATGCACTCTGTTGGAGAACCTCCAGGGTCATCCACACCATTATCTTGCTCCAGCTCTCTGTAGAGAATGTACTGCACTTCTGTTCTGTCCCAGGATGAATCTTTGGATCACTCACTCTAAAACAATGACCATGTCTATGTCAATGAGTGGAATCAATCTGTATGAAGCAGCCATATTGTATGGAAGCTCCAGTATCATTGTGAAGCTCCAGTCCCAGCTTAAAACTGAGAAAAGGGGTAATAGCTCATTTACAGTGTGAGATCTCCAGTTTAGAGAAAAATCACACAGTGATGGCAGAGGAGCTGGTTGGGTTTACAAATCAAAACAATGTGATAGAGGAGAAAGTGAAAGTTGAAAATTCTGCTAAAGGATCTGGAGCAGAGACAACACCATCCTGTGGATGTATGGAAAGAAGACAGAGTAAGCAGAGGAATGAGAAAATGAGTAACAAAATTTTTTAGGCTTGTCTCAATATTAATTTTGACAGCAGAACACAGATTAAAAAAGATCCTTTGCTCTTTTTACTTGTTCCTATGTTAACAATTTCAAGTAAGGATACTTATGTTTTACTATATTCACAATGATTATTAGGATTCCATTGAATAGCTCTCCCAATGTTTACATTTGATCACTGTTGCCCTTAAGAAATGGGATTGTCATGAGAGCTGTAAAAAACAAAATTTCATTTATTATACACTCTGTGTATACAAAATGACAATAAAGTTTGCCTAAGTCTAATAACTGTAACAAACATTACTAAATCAGGCCATTCCCGCCTTATCTGTTGAGCTTTAATGATAATTCAACTTTATTGATCTCACATTGGAGAAATTTATCCCTGCATTTAACCCATCTCCTTGGGGAGCAGTGAGCTGCCAGTGTGCGGCACCTGGAAGCAGTGTGGGGTTAAGGGTCTTGCTCATAGAGCCAGAGTGGCAGTCTGTGGGAGTGGGGCTCGAACTCAGAACCTCAGGATTCCATCCTCTATGCCCTAACCACTGGACCGCCACATCCCCTTTGTTTTAATTAATACGTCTGTGTTCACCTCATTAAACTGACCGCAATTACTTCACAGATTTTAACACCATTTCCCAGATTACTTAATGTTCATCAACCTATTAAAAATATTCACAAACTTAAACTTCCTAGATTTATTGCTTTTTTTCTTTTATCTTCTTTACCTAATTTACTATGTTGCACTTTGGGATTTGTATTATTTTAATAACCTAAATAATATCAGTCAAACTCTAGAATTATGTATAAATACAGCATTGAAACTAACTGAACAGAAATGATTGCCATTAGCTTAATTGGATTGTAATTCAACATTTTTCTTTTTCAAACATTTAAGAAATTGCCGTATATAAGTGTGAGAAACAAATATGTGATTGCTATTATTTAAATGATTTCAGGGTTGTAATACCCTTAGGTGTCCACCTGAGGGCAGCATCGAAATCCTACAAAGAACAGAGGGACAGACCAGTTATGGCAATAATGTTCTATAAGAAATTTCCTGTGTGCATGCACACAAACATGGCATAACATTATGACCACATTCCTAATACTGTCCTCCTAACTTTAACTACATTAAGAGCACACATCAGCTCAAGGAAATCACATGAACGCTAAAGTAAAACATGCATGTTGGAGACAAGTGACTTTGTTAGAAAAAGTTCACACCCAAACAGTAGAAATACATTCTAAGGAAGGTAAATATCCTCCTGATTCGAGGTTATGAAAGACTGAAAAGATGCCCAACCACAGATGTGACTAAATCTATCTCTATGCTACAGATAGATTTGCTTCATAACTCATTTATACCCATGCATTATTTCATCATATATTTGCCCTATAGTGACATTGGGGCTATGAGGATGTTTCCAGGTCAGCTGCTCATTTGATGGTCCTTGGCTAGTCTTTTGTATCAATTCTAAGCTCCACGGCATTATGCTGCCACCACCATGCATGATAGTTTTTAAACTGTGAGATGTTTGATTCTTTTAGGAATAATAATCAATACTAAGCCCCCCCTGCTCCCCCTTTGGTTCATCAAAGGCGGAGAAGAACTCCAGTGGTGTTTTGTGTGATTGTGTAAAATGAATAGCTCTATCTACTAAGCTACTAATTTTCTCTTACAGGCATGACTTTTGGCATCCCTGAACACACAGGGACCGTGCGGAGGGCTGCGTGACAGCTCACCGCTGCATGCTTCCTGCACAGCCTCTATTGGCTGCCCCCGTCCTGTGTAGGCGGGACACGAAAGTCTGAGTCAGCTGTGACTCACCGCACGACACGTCTGTCACCATGTGATGAGTTCAGGTAAAGTGGGAATAATTCGATCATAAGAACTGCACGATGCCGGTGGAGTCTTCCCAATAGAATTTTTAACAAATCTCGCATAAATGTGTAAAAAAGTCGTTTTTTTTTTTTTGCATTCTTACTTTTAGATAATTAAAAAGAGAGCCACTAACTTCCACCTTTCATACTAGCATAAAAAAAAAAGTTTCTGAAATAAAGCATGCATTAAAGCATGCCTTAAGATGTTTCGAGGTTACTGCATTTGTAAAACCAAAATCAGTTTTAGAGAAAAAAACAAGCAAAAAGGCAACAACGCATGGTTTGGTGCATATTTATATGCATGTGTGTTCTGATTTACATACAGACATCATATTTAATATAACTTGCAAACCAACCGTCATTGAAAGATATTGCTCATAAATGTATCTTTAGTAGAATCGATTATTGCAACAGCAGAGGTGGAGCTAGTTGGGGGGCCAGGGGTGGCCATGGGCACCCTCAGCTAATCATTGGCCACCACTACCATTTGGTTGCCTCTAATTCAGATGGTGGCAGCAGTAATACTCTCAAGAGGAATATTCAAAACATTTTCTGTACTTAACAGAATTAATGCTCTTTTCAGAGCTAGATTTTGTGTTTTATGGGGTAAAGAGAAAAATACGTGTCTCTGCAAATCATCTAGGAGTCTTCAGTGAAATGAAAAATAAATAACAATCAATTTATGTAGATATTAGTGCTTGTTACTAACGATTTTATGCAGAATGTTTATTAATACAAGTAGGTGAGTAATGACAATGATGATTGATTTACGCCCCAGAACTTAAAACTGAGTTTTATCCACTATACCTTTTATCTAGAAATTACAGATGTTTATATATGTGTCTATTTGTTTGCAAAGGCTATAGGAAAGTATAATTAGTCTTAATGTAGAAAATATGGATGCTTTGCACGTAAGTAGCACTACTGCCTTACAGCAAGAAGGTTGCAGGTTCGATTCCCGGCCCAGGGTCTTTCTGCATGGAGTTTGCATGTTCTCTCTGAGCATGTGTGGGTTCTCTCCGGGTACTCCGGCTTCCTCCCACAGTCCTGTTATGTTAATTGGCTTATCTAAATTCTCCTTAGGTGTGAATGTGTGTGTGAATGGTTGTTTGTCCTGTTTGTCTCTGTGTTGCCCAGCGATGGACTGGCGACCTGTCCAGGGTGTACCCCGCCTCTCGCCCGTAGACAGCTGGAGATAGGCACCAGCACACCTCTAAACCGGACTTAGTATTAAGCGTGTAAGAAAATGGATGGATGCTGGTTAATTTTCCTGTTGTAACAGTATAGATTGACCGTGAGGTTCTGGTGCCGATCCACTTTCTGCCCCCCCCCCCCCCCCCCCCCCCCCCCCTCAATAAAAATAAATAAAAACCCTTATAAAAAAAAATCTGGCTACGTCTCTGTGCAACAGTCCTCATAGGTTTTCCTACAATGTACGTCAGACAGCTGCAATATTTAAAAGCCCCCCCCATCCCCATTTGTGCCAAATAATCTCAAAGGAGCTTTCAGAGACCTGATATAGTTGTTCCACTATTTCCTGCCTGTTTATGTGTCCGTGAACGCAGCACCAGACTGGCTGATCTTCCAGGACTTGGCCTGGGCTGGCTGGCTGACTGACTGCTGCTGAGGCTGTCCGCTCCGGGCTCTGGTTCCTCTGCGCTGCACAGACTGAACCTTCTCCCTCTACTGATTCCCGTGTTTAACCTCCTTCTTGGTCACCGTGCTGGACGTGTCTCCCACGGAGGGTGAGTGTTTGCTGGAACTCTTCTTTCTTCAGGGATCTTTTCACTGTCAGTTAATGTGTCTCTCTGCCACCCTCTGTGTCTAAACAGTCTTTTTTCTCTCAGATAAAGTATTTGTTTGGTGTTCTTAAACTATGGAGACGCGTTCACTGACTGTATAACTGTCTCCATCTCTCGGGTGGAAAAGCGCTGCGTGGAATTCCCGTTACGTAGCCGAGATGTTGTCACGCGTCTAAACCAGCGTGGCGCCAAATCTGGCGCTGGAAAAATAAAAATAAATCAGAATTAATCGGAAATTATTCACCATTAAGAGCCGCAGCATTACTAGTAGAGTGAACAGATAGTTTCCAAATGAATTGATAGATTTTTTTTATTTGCTTTAGATAGAAAACCTAAATTCTACTTAAAGGTCGCACCTCGGTGCCTTTCTCAGAAAAAAAGATGTAAAAATGTTACTATAATGTTTCTTTAGTAATAAATATTGATTAAATCAGACCCTGTTTGAAAATAACAGAAACAAACAAAACGGAAAAGTGGAAAAATCCTGGAATTTAAAAGAAAAAAACAATAATTTAAACTGTATGATCTGGTGAACTTTAAAGTGCCTTAAGATGCCGTGTTGTGAATTGGCCCTATAGAAATAAACTGAATTAAAATTTTATTGAAATTTAAACTATATATGGAGCATCCATCCATCCATCCACCCACCCACCCACCCATCCATCCATCCATCCATCCATCCATCCATCCATCCATCCATCCATCCATCCATCCATCCATTTCGGACCTGAAAAAGAAAACTGTCTGCTGTGCTTTGAAGCTGAGGAGAAGAGCAGAGGATTACTGACACAGTGCTGCTGCAGCCGCCTGTATTATGTAAGGGATTCATCCTAAAGCTCAGACTGTCTCCTGATGCTAAATGCTCTTCCTGACTTTTTGCCTCAGATGAACATATTTGTGTGTGGTGTTTTTGTAAACAGCACATCAGAGTCGTTTCTGCTCTAACTTTCCCATAATCATGCCAGAAGCCCTGTCCATTTTCAGGAGGGAACATCAACTGTGGGGATCACAGCTGTCTGATATCTGTGTTTGAATATATGGAGCTGTTTTTATAGTGATTGAACTATTATTTGTGTCATACATCTCCGTGTTGGCCCTATGATGGACTGCAGACCCATTAGGTAGGCCTGTTGACTGCCGGGGATACAGACGGACACAAATGAACCTTTGTCAGTGGGATTACAGGAGCACCCTTGCTTCTAATTTTGCCGATAATCCAGATTAAGGTGTCGCAGGTCTTGCCTACCTCCTGCTCACAGCTCTGGTAGATGGAAACAGCAGCCCTGTACATTACTGTCTTCATTCCATGACAACAGCTATATCACTGTCGCCTATTTAAAAACAACCCATCCATAATTTTTATACAGAGGCAAAACATGTTTTGTGAGAATATCAACTATACAACACTTACTGTATCTTGTAGTGATTTTGTTATTTCTTTAAATTGATTAGAGTTAGGTATTTTCATGACCTCCTGTGACCTCATCTGAGTTATAAACGACGTGACAAATAATTCAATTCAGTTTATTTATATAGCGCCAATTCACAACACATGTCCTCTCAAGGCACTTTCTAGTTCACCAGATCATCCGGTCAAATTGATTTAAAGTTTTCTATCTAAGGAAAATCAGTTGATGGCATCAACTCATTGACTCCAATGCAATCCCTCACACTACGCATGCTGGTAGCGACAGTGGAGAGGAAAAACTCCCTTTTAACAGGAAGAAACCTCCAGCAGAACCAGGCGCAGGGTGAGCGGCCATCTGCTGAGGCTGACTGGGGTTCAAGGAGACAGAAGCAGAGATACAAAAAGCAGCTGTAAAATCCAGCCCCGTCTATAGATATAGGCCTGTTTGCCTTCAAAGTAGGATAGACAATAGACCATACCATTTAACAGACCCTTTCTGGTGATTTCACAACAAACTTTAAATAAAAATTCAGTCACTCTTTGCTAAATTTGCAGAGACTTGCAATTTTATTCCACAAACTTGAGCGCCATTCTTTTTACACCCTTTAAGCCCGGCATACACTGTGCGATATTTTTAATCGTTGCACACAGCTACAGCTCAAACTGTGCGAAGAAACCGCAGGGTTCAAAAGTTCGCAGCTCACGATACATGTTCTCACAGTGTGTGGTCCGACACTGTAATTCAATCTACTTGCTCACACTGCACGTCCAAAAATCACACATCAGACTGAGCACTGAGAGATCCCTCATCAATCTGGGAGAAGAAGAAGAACTCTCTTGTTTGCACATGCGCAGTGCTTGAGGTTCTGGTAGATCGGCTCATAGACGCTCGTAGCTCTGCTTCAACAGCAGGATTTACCCACGAACCCCTTACGATGGCCGACTGAATTTAAAACATTTTTGAGAGGCTGATCACCCCTCGTTACCGCCTGTTTACTTTACAACGCACAATGAAGCTGAAACTCGGTCCAATCGAAAAATTCTCGCAAGACCAGAGAATCAGCCCTCGAAAAGGGGAAAAAAATCGTAAAGTGTATGCCCCGTGTTAGACAGATAGTTGGCTATAAAATACGAGCAATCCTCTTAGCCCCTTGCTTTATGTCAATTCTGTCTTCCCAGCTTTGCGTCTTTAAAGTTAAGCTTGCAATATTGAAGCATGTGTGGTGCGGATTGCCACATTTACTGTATAGTATTATAAGTAATACCTTCAAGTCAGTTCCCCAAAGGGATACAACAAACAGGCTGAAAAGCAAGGATCCAGAGCCATGAAATCAACGTAAAAAAAGAGAAGGTTGCAGAAAAAATAGTCATAAAGAGAGAGAATCACAACAAAAAGAGGTAATAATTAAAGTAAGACAGATCCATGTTGATCATCGTATGTTACGAAACTGTGCAAGAAAAATCCCATTCACCAAACTAGCTTTTATCTATGATTAGACCACCAGTTACCACTTTCAAAACATCTGGAAATCTGACAAGGCTGAAGAAAAACCTAAAGTAAAACGTATGAGACGAAGGAGAAGGGAGGTAAAATGAATCTCCAAAGATCGCTGCTGGAGGACTACAGCATACATTTTGTGTTCCTGGGGTCTCCAGGATACCCTTAGATATTATCTACATGCCAGACATTAAAAGACACCCTTCTGTCCTACCATAGCAAAGGTGAGAATCTGTAGGTTAAGTCAGATACTGAGCCTTTTGTGTTTTTTGTAACAAATAATTCAGTGAGGTCTACTGTGCAACAAAAGCGGATTTTATGATGCTGTGGGTCTGGTTGCTTTCAAGAAAAAATGGTTACCCAGACAGTTCTAGACATCTCCCATGGCCATCTCAGTCCCCAGATCTCAATCCCATTGAAGGACAAAAAGATGGTTGGCGAGCTATCCATAAGAAACATACCTGTGAAGATTCTTGGTCATCTTTGTCATGGCTGCTACAGCATTAAATCAAAGACATCTGGAATTTGGCTGAAGTGTAAACCCCCCAGATGTGATCCTGGGTTCTGATGTGTTGGGTATAGAGAAAATATTCTCTCAAAGTCCTTAAAAGGGCAATGTTGAAGTTTACTATTTTACAAAAGGTTCTACAACATGAAATGCGAGGATTTGGTAGTAAATAAATGAGCACATTCTTATCGAGCGTTTAGATGAAAAAGAAAATATTAAATTTAAGCGAGATGGGTCATGATCAAAAGAACACGATCCTGCGTTCAGGTGGCAGAGATGAGAATGATTTGACTTATTCTAAGGGGTGAGGAGCTCCATGAACAGGGTAGCTTGAAGTAAACTTGGTGCTTCTAAGTGTTGAAAAGGGTCAGAAAGATGATTTTGGTATCTAATCACGATTCCTCATAAGAGCTTCACTTTTGAGGCTTTCTGGGCCCTGCACCAATCAGAAGAACCTGGACTAGACCCAGAACTTGCAGGCAGGATGATATACTTAAGGATGTCACCATACGAAGGGATTCTGGGTTTCCCTGCTAAGATTACCCCCACAATCAGATAAGTGGATGGAAACTCTTAACAAGAAGTTTCTCCTCTGAATAAATTCACCCAGATTTATTCAGACTGTTATCCACTTCTCAGGGATTTGCAATTGATGTATGAGTCGACTTTCTCTTAAAGCTTTCTGCCAACTTTTATGACGGGTGCTGATATGTAGGGAGGGTTTAGTAAGTCCTTGAATGCAACAGGGGGAAATTTCTGTTTTTTTGGAGCTCTTTTCATAAGACAGTTCCTGTATTTCTTCTCGACTCTCTGTCTGTTATGGTCCTTCCTATTTTAATGCACTTGGCTTTCAATGTGGAGAATTAGACCAAGAACGAGAGGGAGACAGTTGAACTATAAATAGACATTGGGAGAGTGGTTGTGATGATAGTATCGGAACACAGTAATCCCTCCGTATGAAGCCGCTGTTATTTCACCGTTTTCTGCCAGCAGGCAGTTATTCCTTCAGCTTCTCCTGCACAGTAAGCATTGTTACCTGCTGGACCTGAGCTCCTGACCTTCTGCTCAGTCTCTCAACATGCGGAAGCTCATTAACACGGACCTACGGGTCAGGGGAGCCGGTCTTTTCTGGTCCAAAGAGTGTTTGGGTTAATCTCTTTAAAACTGTAGTGTGAAAGGGGCTGGAGGATCAAATATCACACTGTTTTCACTTTTAATCCTATCAGCAACAACAAAATATTGTCATTACTTTCCACAATCGATTTAATTATAGCTAGAATTTGCTGTACAACACCCAGTTCTCCTTAAATACAGTTGTATTTCATTTAGATTTGATTAGTTTTTTCCTGTTTCGTGGTTTAAAGCGGAACCACTTCCTTGGTTCTGTGTAGCTTGTATGGCTGCTGTCAAATGTTTGGTCTATATACATGAGAACTGCATTGGTAGCAGGTTTACAAAGTGATTTAAAGACTTAAAAAAAGATATTTAACACCTTTTCTGATTAATCTTCTAATGCAATAAAAAACAGA